TTATACCCTCAGATGATGTACCGGCACTTCCTTGTCGCAACACTCTGTAAAACGAATCGGTTTTTTAGTGGTTTTTTGAAATATTACTTGGTTTTTCAAAAATTGGTAACACGATTTTCGGTTTTTTAAAAATCCAGTTGGTATTATTCTAGACGTTTTAAGTAATATGGTTTTTTAAAAAACCAAACTATACTTTTTAGTTTAGGCCGAGCATTTTTTAGTAAATCAGAGTTTTGAAAATTTGGCGAAAATGGCGCCAAATATCATCGTTAACATTTTGCCAGTATAAACTATATTCTTTAACTCTATATATTGCCTTAACAAAAAAATACTTATACAATTATTTTTATTATTAAAAAGCTGTAGTTTTTTGATTTTAGATTCCTTTTTTGTTTAACAAAGAATTGCTGTGAAAAAATTTTACGCGACAATATTACTAGTTCTTATGGGAAAGCCCCTAAAAACTTGGAAAACGCAATTAATTTAGAAGCCCAAAGTATTGCTAAAAAAATAAGCCTTGATAACAGAATCGAATATACTGCCCCTGCAAGGAAGTTTGTTTTCAAAACAAACTTCCTTGCCCCTGCAAGGAAGTTTGTTTTGAAAGTTTGGTTTATGGTCTTTTAGTGTTACAAAGGCTTGGCCTTTGTAACACTAAAAGACCATAAACCAAACTTTCAAAACAAACTTCCTTGAGGTTATTGGTTCTCTCAAAAAGTGAGATTGGACATGTAAGCAAAATTAAATTGGACAAAACTAATAATATTCTTAAAAATAAATTAAATTTGCAACAGTGGAAAAATACCACTGATGTTATAAATTGGTTCTCCATAATCGAAAATAAAAATGACTGTACATTTATTCAATTTGACATTAATGATTTTTACCTCTCAATAACTGCAGATATTTTAGATAAAAATGTTTTAATAAAACATTGTAGAAAAACTTTATTTTAATAAAGAAACTTGGAAAAAGAAAAACATACATGATTGCTTTGATGTAACAATGGGCAGTTATGACGGTGCGGAAATTTGTGAACTTGTTGGACTATATATATAAGATTTATTAAGTAAAATAATCAATATAAATGATTTAGGCATTTATCGCGACGATGATTTAATAGTAATGCGTAAAAAATCTGGTCCACAGCTTGATAAAATTAGAAAAAATATTATAAAATTTTTTAAAAATATTGGCTTTCAAATCGAAATAAACATAAATTTGAAAATTGTGAACTTGATGTCACATTTAATCTCTCTGAAAATTCATATAAGCCTTTCAAAAAACCAAACGATGAATTATTGTATATTAATATTAACTCAAATCATCCACCCCAAATTCTAAAACAAATCCCGATTTCAATTAATAACAGGCTTAACCAAAACTCCTTTAATGAAAATGTATTTAATTCCTCCAAACAAAAACTTTTAAAGATGCCCTTAAAAAAAGTGGTTTTGAAAATTTTGAATTAAAATTTAACCCTGAAAAAAAGAATGCAAAAAAGCGAAATAGAACTAGAAATGTAATTTAGTTTAACCCCCCATATAGCAAAAATGTTTCCACTAACATAGGAAAGTCTTTTTAAAATTGATCGAGAAGCATTTTCTGCCCTCTAATAAATTACATAAAATTTTTAATCGAAATACAATTAAAGTTAGTTACAGTTGCACAAAAAATATGGAAAGAATTATAAAAGGTCCAAACAATTCTTTGTTAAACAAAAAAGAAATCCAAAATGAAAAAACTACAGAAAATTGTAATTGTAAACAAAAAAAAATTGTCCAATAAGTGGAAGCTGCTTATCAAAAAATGTGGTATATAAATGTGTTGTTTCCTCTAAGAATGTACCCGATAAACAATATATTGGCATTACAGAGGGTGAGTGGAAAAAACGTTTACCCAATCATAAGAAATCTTTTAAAAATAAAAAGTATTTAAAAGACAACATGCTGTCAAAATATCTATGGGAACTAAAAGATAAAAATATTAATGATTTTATACTGAATTGGTCCATCCTTAAAACAGCGCCTGCATACAACAATATTTTCAAAAAATGCATACTATGTCTACAAGAAAAATTTCAAGTAATTATACATGCAAACCAAGAATGTTTATTAAACAAAAAATCAGAATTGATTTCTAAATGCAGGCACGAAAATAAGTTTCACCTGAAAAACTATAAAAATAAGTGAGCTCAAATAATAGTTACATTTAATCCCCCTTTAAAAATATATTTTTTAAAAAACCATAAGTAATCATTTCTAAAAAATTCTTTTTAAAACAGTGTCAGCAAATTACACAAATGTGTGAAAAATTACAGTAGTTAAGACATGCGACTTTATGTTATTTAACTTTTGGTATAAATTGAAGTTTCACTAATTTGATTCATTTCTGATGAGTCTTTATTGATGAAACACAGTGTTGAATGAAAAAAATTTTGCAAAGTGATTTTCTACTAATTTGTAATTGCTCTGTTCTTTTAAGAACATTGAGCATTCTTTTTGTGGAATAGATTTTAAATTGTTTAAATATATATATATATATATATATATATATATATATATATATATATATATATATATATATATATATATATATATATATATATATATATATATATATATATATATATATATATATATATATATATATATATATATATATATATATATATTATAAGTTTCAAGTACACCTTAAGGATGCGATAACATAAAACCAAACTCCAACATCAACCCCAGCATAACCACAGGCGTCATTAAAGGTTTTTTATGTCGAGCAAAAGAAATCTGCTCTCAAAAATATCTCTCACAAGAAATTGATTTCCTCATAAATACATGTTTTGAAAACGGCTATAACAAAAACAATCTAATTAAAATAACCAAAAACTATTTAGACGGCATTTCAAAAAATACTACATCTAACTAATTAGATCAAAAGTTTGTTAAACTACCTTGGATACATATTAATAATCTTTTTAACAGTTTCATAAGAACGTTTGTTAAGAACGTCAGCACTTCTTTACAAACCGTGTTACAAACCGATGGAACAAATTAGCTCAAAATGTAGTTGATGTACCTACTGTGCACTTTTTTAAAAAACACGTTTAAAATGCTGCTTTGACTGCAGCAATGTCCATTGTCAGCATAGCATTGTCAGCATATGTTGAAGTTGTATTGATTACTGTAATAAATGAATAAAAAAAAAAAATTAAAAAAATAAACATTTAAATAAAATACTTCTAATTGTATATGAAGAAAAAACGGTTTTTCATTGAATGTGATGGAAAGTTCACAGTAACTTAACCTTGGATTGGCTTGAACTTTGATTGGCTCGTACTTGACAAATTATAAGGCTGTTTTTGTACTCTAGTAATTTTTTATAATTTTTTGGATCCTGCATGACGTTGGATACTGCTTGTCATTTTAAATACTTTCATAGTATTTTTGACGTAATCTTTTGAAATTTTTAATCTTCTTGCTATTTTTCAGTTACTGATAATTAAATCATATCTATTATTTGAAGTTAGTGATTTATTTATTACTGATCAGAGAGTCGTATCTATTATTTAGAGTTATTGATTTATCTGTTACTGATCATAAAGTCATATTTATTATTATTCTATTTTTTATTATTATTATTATTTTTTTATTATTCTATTTATTACTATATTTAATTTTTGAAATTTGATTACTGCTTTTTAAACCACTTATACTTTTTAAACCACTTATGAAATATTTATATGTATATATATATATATATATATATATATATATATATATATATATATATATATATATATATATATATATATATATATTTATATATATATATATATATATATTTATATATATAATTTAAATATTTTGTTTATAAATACTTTAATAATTATGTCTGTATATATATTGTCAGTAAATATTTTGTTTATAAATATTCCAATAAATATGTCTGTAAATATTTTGTTTATAAATATTTCAATAAATATGTTTGTAAATATTTTGTTTTTAAATATTCCAATAAATATGTCTGAAAATATTTTGTTTATAAATATTCCAATAAATATGTCTGTAAATATTTTGTTTATAAATACTCCTATAAATATGTCTGTAAATATTTTGTTTTTAAATACTCCTATGAACATGTTTGTATATTGTCTCTAAATATTTTTTTTATAAATATTCTAATAAATATGTCTGTATTATCTAAATATTTTGTTTGAGCAAAAGCAGAACCTTGTGATTTAGAGAATGAGAGTGAGATAAAACTGTCAATACATTATACGTATTACCAGAGCCGTTACTAGTGGGTTGGAACCGCCCCCCTTCCCATATAAAAACAAAAAAATGTCGTTAGGGCCCCAAAATCTTTAAAGGTTTTCCGATGGGTGTTACTAAAAAAATATTAGAAAACTACATAAATTTGCGAAGAGGTCGCTAAATTTGTCTCCCACCTCCTTCCTATGGCTAGGCTACCCACACATCTAAAATGGAGTATGTGGGGTAGCCTTGCCACGGCTTTGTGTTTTACACATGTACAGCAATCAGATGAAAGTAATGACTAATTCTGCGGTAATAAGGTTGCAATGGTAGTAATTTAATGAATATATTACAACAAATTTCAACACACACTCATTGTCTCAAATAAATCATTGTCTCAAATAAATATATACCAGCTCAAAAAGTATAAAGTATTTATAATGTTAGAGATTGCTTTCCAATCAAAAACTTCTTTAAAGTTTTAGGGAGTTGCAAAATTTATTATTTTAGCTGTATTGTGTACTAAAAAACTTTAATATGCTTGGAGTTAAAGATGCAACTTAAGTTTAACCAAAGTTGTGCGCATGATGATTTTAAAATGACATTAAAGACAAACATTCTCATTTTAAGACAAGCCCTTCCTATTTAAGAAAAACAGTGGCGCAAAACAATGCTCAACGCATGCTCTTTGTCTGAATGAATGTAAGTATTGAGTTTATTTGCCCATTTGAGTGCACGCTTCATTAATCCGCTGAAAATCACTGGCTTTTATTGATGAATTACTTCATCGGAGTAAAAAGTTCGACTTAACACAAATACTCTATCGTTTTTTTTCTTAATTTGTAAAGAGTTTTAAATTTAAGCTCTTAACTTGCCTTTTTTAATATACCTGAGGACCTTGCGGAATGGTTTGATGAAATATACTAGTTAAAATGTTTTGGAAAATTATTGTTTTTATTTTTGCTATAGATCACCTATCAGGTAAGAAATAAAAAAAGTGAATAAAATATTGCTACTATAGTAGCCTATAAATTATTTCATAATTTATATTTTTAACTTTATCTTATATCTATCAAAAAACTTTTTGAATGACAAACTACTGAGTTTTTTATTTGTTAGGTTTCAATCTTTCTTATTGGTTATTTTTCTGTCTTTTATAATTTGTTTTAATTAATTGTTTAAGTTAAAAAATTTATTATTTATTTTTTCTACTGGTTTGGTTTCTGTCCTTTTGATTATTTAGACTTCTGCTATACATACTTTGCTAGTTTCGTTTGTCTAATGTTATTCTTACATTATTGAATTATTATAAGGTTACCAACGTTCTCTTTTTTACGTAGGAGAGTGTAGTGCAAAACATAGTTAAAACTCAAGTTTTTACGGCGCTCTCCAACATGAATTGGAGGACGTTGGTCACCTTAATTACTATATTATTTATGTTATGATTTTTTTAATTTGAAGAAAATATTATAAAATTATAATTATTATAATACATTTCAATATACTAACTTTAATTATGAATGGTAACATTTTACTAGGTGCACCACGACATCACAAAAAATTTCCTAAAGATGTTTCAGGTGAAAAGCGACAAAGTCTTGGAGATTGGGATGTTCATTATACTGAGCCAAGCCAATTAGGAGCTGCTAGTTTGGTACAAGGTCCGAACACAGAAGACCTTCTTTCCTTACAAAAAGCAATGGTTGGTTACCAAAAAATAAATAAAGCTTACGAGCCTGCTATAGTATTAGCTGGAGCTTTTCCTCATCTAGAGGGTGCAGTACCACATGCTCAACTAATAAAAACATTTCATAAGCCAATACCTCAAGAAGAAAGCGCTGTTGATGACGAAGATGATGATGACGACGACGACGACGATGAAGATGACAATGAAAACAAAAATTCACGAAAAAAAAGAACTCTTAAGAGCCATCCTCGTCGATCTAAAAAACGCACTCTCCCTAACAGTGAAAAAGAAAAGTCAGACAAAAATAAAGAGTTAATAACAACCAGCAAAGACAATTTAAAAGGTAAAAAATTTGCTGAACGTAAAGAAGTTGAGGGAGATAAAAGTCTTTCAAAAACAGAGCTTGATAATGACAAAAATACAGAAAAAGAAACTAAGTTTCAAAAAGAAACAGACAAGTTGCAAGAAAAAGAAGTGAGCAACGCAAAAGAAGAAGTTAAAGAACGAGAAGAAAACCATCATAAAGAACTAGCTGATTTAAAAGGAAAAAATGCACAGTATGAAGGAGATAAGCCAAATAATGTAGAAAAACATTTAAACAATGAAGGAGATAAGTCAAATGTGGGTGATAAAAAATTACAATATGAAGGCGATAAGTTAAATGCTGGTGAAAAAAACATGCAGCCTGAAGGAGAGAAAGAAATTGTCGGAGAAAAAGAAAAACAACACAGAAAAGAATTCGCTAAAGCAGAAGAATCAGAAAAAGTTCCAAATAAAATTAAGCAACAGGAGGAAATAAAACAGGAAGAAGTAAAAGAAGAAGTGGAAAAAAATGAAAAAGATAGCGGAAGTAAGTTTACTAAACAACATAAGATAAAAGTAGATGAAAAGGATGCACTGACAACAGATGTTCAAAGTAAGTCAAGTAAAGAAAAAGAGTCTGGATACGATAATGGAAGAAGTGAAAACAGTGAAGCAACATCTAGCAAAGTACATAACTCAATTAAGGAAAATGTAAATGATAACAATGAAGCTTCTGTTGATAAAAATTACCACAATTCTCGGCAAGAAGAAGATCGCGTTCAAGAAAATGTAGTTTCAAAAGAAGGGCATAAAAATACGAAATACGTTAAAGGAAACCAGGTTCAAGATACCAAACTTGAACGAAATCAGAACGATGAAAAGGAGTTAAGTACTAGTGATCTAAAGGAGTTCAAGGAGTCTGAAAAAAATGAATTGAATAAACATCAAAGCAATGACAAAGATTCCACAAATGTGAAAAGTTTTACGAAAGAAGGAAAGCAGTCAGCAAGTTCTGAACAATACCAAGAAGTCAACGGAAAGCTCATTTTTACCGAGAGAGAGAAACTGCGTTTAAAAGCCGGCGCTGAAAAAGAAAGAGAAGCCGAGAGAGTAAATGAAGCCCAAGCTAATAATAAAAATGAAAACGATGATAAGACAAAGCCGGAGTTTAAAGCAGGTCCAAATGAAGAAAAAGAATCTGTTAACGAGTCTCAAAACAAAAAACTTGAAAACGATGTTAAACAAGATAAACTCCCTTTAAAAGTGAACCGCGAAGAAGAAAAGGAATCTGAAAAAGGAAATGAAACAAATAAAGAAAGTGAAGAAAAAGGAAAATACGCTGTACCTGAAGAAAAACAACAAGAGCCAGTGAAGGTTGAGGAAAAAGAAAATCGTCAAAATTATTATCCAAAAAAAAAAAAACAGTTGCACGAAAAGTTCTCAAGTGAAGAGAGCAAGCAGTTAGACCAAAATTCCGTAGTCGTAGTTACAAAACAGTTTGATGCAAGCAAAAATGAAAATCAAAAAGATTTAGAAGTAGAAAAGCTTTCAGGAAAGAGTTCCCGTTCTCAAAACGAACAAAGTGACGATACAAAAGACGCCGAAGCCACTTCTTCAACGGCTTCAGCTTCAGAAAGACTGGAGAGTCGGCCAGAAAAAAACGAAAAAGAATTAGAAAACAAACTAAAAACAGTAAAATTTGATAAAAATGAAAAAGCTTCTACGGAAAACGAGAAATCACCGCAAAGTTCTGTTCAAGATGACGGTAATATTAAAGGAAAAGAAAACAAAGAGATTGAAAAAGGTGCAGAAAACAAAGAAAAAGTTGCAGATTTTACTGATTTAAAATCGAAAAATGAAAAAGGTAAAAAAGGTGTAGAGGAAAAAATGGAAGAAAAATTGGAAGAAAAAAATATTGAAAAAAACGAAGAAAAGAAATTCGAACAAAACAACGAAAAAATTGAAAAGAAACTTTTAGACAAAGAAGCAGAGAGTACCGAAAAATATTCAGATAAAATTTCGTTAGGAAAGTGGCATAAAAACACCCCAAAAATGGAAAAAAATGCTGACGAACTAGAAAGAAAAGAGGCTGAAAAATACGATAAAAATACTCTGGAAAAGTCTGAGCAAATTACAAAAGGCGAGAAGAGCGTATCTGAAGAACACCGGCACGAGGAAAAAGAACTTTTGCTTAATGACAATCCTGTAAGTGATAACGAACTTGTTGGAAACCCAAAGTCCAATAAAAAATTACATGAAAAACCTGAAAAACAAGCTGAAACCGAAATTTCTCCTAAATTAATGGTTTCAAAAGAAGATGAAACTCAAAAACAAGCTGACATGAGGAAACCAACAGAAGAACGAAAATTCGAGAAAAAAAAACCCAAGGAGTTTAAAGAAAACGTTGAAGAGCAGGCAAGTGTTGATCAAGAAGTGGTGAAAGAAAAACCAAAAAGTTCCAGACACAAAGATGCCGAAAAACTAGCTGAGTTTGCACAAAATGAAAACACTGAAAGAAAAAGTCGCGATGACGATGATCGTAAAGTTCATGACTCAAAAACCGCCAAAATAAACGCAGATATGACTGATGAAGAGTTGGAACAAAACTCTCGAGTTGTTTTGAGCCAATTAAAGCAGTTGCAAAGTCTTGCCCAGTCTCCAAATCCAGACCCAAAAAAAATTGATGTTAGTGCACTTCATCCCGGGACAGTAAAAATACTTAAAAAACTTGGCGAAGAACACGAGCGACGGGGGCTTGTTGACGATTACGGAGGTGACAAAGATATTGAAGGTATTTAAAAAATTTTTTTTTTTAATCGAATTTTGAAATAATGGAACCTTAAGCTAAAATTTGTTGCGCGAGGCAATTGTTTTAAAATAATAAGTAACAATAAGCAATAATTTTAATAAAAATAGTACATATTCCACATTCTTTATAGCTCGATATAATCTAAAATTTAACAAATTAAGATGTTTTTGAAACCGCTTCCATCTAGTGCATGAGTCGCGTTCTATCACTTTTAATCAAAACACTTAACAAACTCGCTTTTAGCATATCTTTTAACTTTTATTGATTTATTTGTTGTTTTTTTTAACTACTTTTTATATTAGTTTTGTTTTTCATTTTTTGAATATTAATTTTTCATTTTTATTTACTCGTAAGTTAAATCACACTTTTCTAACTTACTCACAATTACATTAATTATCACAAACATGTAAACAAACATTAATTATTACATTAATTATCACAAATATTATTAAAATTTCAACTTTACTTGATCATTTGGAACAAATTTCAATTATTAAAGTTTAACAGTTTAATAATTATGTTACCGTGTAACGTAACAATTACTTCAAAAATAATAATCATGTTACACGGTTTTTGCTTTTTAACAAACAAGCTAAAAGAAAATAACTCGCGTTAAAATTGAAACCTTTATATTGATTCTATGAGTGTGTATGGGGGTGTCACCAGAGAACTCACGAAGTAGGGAGTGTAAGGGTCTCCCCCCTTATCTTTCGAAAAAAAAGAAGTAATATATGCGTTTGAATTGGCACATTTGCACATTTAGCATTTGAGTTGACAAGTTTTGAACTTTACTTTGTAAATTTCAAACACCGAGCAGCTTTTGTTTTAGGTGGGATGTTAGTCAGCAAAAAGCACATATGAAACCTCTTTGGGAGGGCCTGGGTATTGCACCTTCAAAGAATAGTTTTAAGTTAAAACCAATTTTTTCAGGATTTTAGTCGGTTATTCGGCATTCGACACATTTCAACCAGATGGTTTTTAGGCTTAGAGATCTTTCTTTCTTTCCCTTTTAGAAAGCGGTCAAATGTTTAGTACAGATCCCCCCCACCCCTCTATTTTATTTTTGTTCCTGGATTCGTTCCTGCAAACATTGAAAGCAAGATCATTTGGTGTAATGAAATTAATAAATTTTGTATGTCATTGTGGTTTTACCTACCTGGTCTTCATATTTACATATATAATTCATCCATGTATGGTCATGTATAATTCATTCATGTATGGTCTTATATAGCAAATTATAGACCAACTTATATAGCAAAAAACATTTTTTTAATTTTTTAATGCCTAGTTTTTTATAAGAAAATAAAGGTTAACACAAAACTTTATTAAACTAGTTTCTTCATAAGCAAGAAAAATATAGTTATATATAATATAGTTATATAAAATATAGTTATATATAATATAATTATATATGATATAGTTATATATGATATAGTTATATATAATATAGTTACATATGATATAGTTATATATAATATAATTATATATAACATAGCTATATATAATATAGTTATATATGATATAGTTATATATAATATAGTTGTATACTATATAGTTCTGTATAATATAGTAAGAAAGCCTTAAAAATATAGTTAGATTTATGTTAGCAAAGAATTTTTACATTTTTTAAAATACTTTTTAAGTCCATTTTTTATAAAGTGTATGAAATTTTCGAAAGGGTCTCAAGTATACAAATGCAAAAAGTACATTACATGCATGCTTCAAAGAAATTTTCAACATTCACAAAGCTGCTTTTGACATTCAATGGCAATAAGTGCTTTCAGATTGGCGTGAATTCAATGTCAACGACGCTTTTCTGTGCATGTTGCAAGTAATATTTGAAATCATTTTTTTTTTTTAAGTTCCCTATATTCATTTTCTTCAATCTCTCTTTTCTTTTCTTTTTATTGAAATAGTTGTGCTGAAAACATGCTTAATTTAGTGTAATACCCCACATTACTATATGTTTTATATGCTTATTAAAGCATACTATATTACTGCTTTTTTTTAAAAAAAAAGCCAAATAATGCGTTATGCTTAAAAAGGAAAAAAACGTATCATAAGTTTATATTAAGTTTTAAAATGATGTTTTGTTCTTCTTTTAAATTTAGATAAAAATTAAAAATTTTTTTCTTTTAAGTTTGATTATTAATTAAAGGTCCTCTTCTCCAGATTTCTGTATATATAATACGTAGGTGTCCACAAATTACATAACGTAATTTTTTATCGTTCTTTACCCTCATTTCCCCTTGTCACAACACTGTAACTCTTTAGTAACAATTTCTGTACAAAACCACTAACCTGTCATCCCACCCATTTTCCTCCTATACAATATACACACTATGTATATATAAAAACATATATGGAATATATGTTTTAAGATATATACATAGTGATATATATATATAAGATATATACATAGTGATATATATATATATATATATATATATATGTGTATATATATATATATTATATATATATATATGTGTATATATATATATATATATATATATATATATATATATATATATATATATATATTTTATATATATATATATATATATATATATATATATATATATATATATATATATATATATATATATATATATTGCATATATGTTTTTAAGACAAACAAATCAAGTGTTACAAAATTGAGGTAAATAATAGCTATAATAAACTAAACAAATGTAAAAAAATAACTTATTTTGAAATATTTTCTGCAGTTTTATAGAACCATTTTGTATGAAGTTACGTCTTAGACCCGAAAATTTATAAAACATGTTTTAACAGTGGTGTTTTGAACACGTTTTATAAGTGCAGATTTGGTGTGAATATGGTATTTGACTGGCATTTAAGTGGTTTAAAAAATATTGATAAGAGTTTTGTACAATTGTTTTTTTTTTTATTTTAATGTATTTAAAAAAAATTTAGAAATTATTTTAAATAATATTAAAATAATAAGAATAAAAAAAAATTTTGGAATGAAAAACTTTTTATTTTATAAATAACTTCAAAATTTTGTTTTTGAAATAATATTATTAAACAAAGAAATTTTATGTTTTCTTTATCGAAAAACATTATTTGGTTTTTTGTTATTAAAAATATGTTTTCTGATAATATGAATACGCTAATTTAATATTATTATCATTTGTCGAGTTACGTCATTTTCTAGGCTTTTTCTATTTTAAAGTAGTTTCTCGGCTTTTCTATACGCGGTTTTTTTTTTTTTTTTTAAATTTTTACTAACAACGCGTATTACGGGTTGCTTACTCCTAGTTGTTATTAAAAGTGTAAAAAAAAAAAAAAAAAAAAAAAAAAATTAGGTAGAAATGCTTAAAAGATTTATGCTTACGGCTTATTCAAAGTTATAAGTGCACGTATTCAAAGTTATAAGTGTATAAATATATTTTTACTTTTACCCTGATATTAATTATTATGGAACGAAAAACTAGAAAACAATAACAAATGAAACTAAAAGTTTAATTATTTCGATGAAAAATTCCGAAAAATATTCGATTAAAGAAATTTCTCAAGCAGCGGGTTTAAATTAGGCGCACAATGAAAAAATATGACAATAGTGGTATATTTATTCCATCAACTGAAAAAAAGAAGAGAACTTATAGGCTCAAAAAATCATTAAACACGAATGTTGAACAAACGATTTTTAATAGTCGTTTGTAATAATTCAAAACCAACACAATCAAAATATATCACAACCTTGTATTTCAAGGAAGTTAAAAAAATTAAATTTAACAAGAAAAAGACTATCTCTGATACCACATGAACGCAACACGATTGAAAGAATTAATGAAAGAGCAATTTATGCTAATGAATTAAGTAGAATTTTAGATGAAAACTTGATGTTTTAGGCGAAACAGGTTTTAAGAAACACTGTTCGTTCGTACGGATATTCACCAAAAGTTTCCAAAGCATATACAATAGTTTCAGCAAATAAAGGACAAAACTCTAGTCTTATGTGCCTTATATCAACGAAGGCTATTGAATGTTTTAAGTATAAGAATGGGCTTTCAATAAAGATACTTTTATTGAATTTATTCGTGTTCAGCTTGTGCGTTTCTTTGCCTCAAACCCAAGTAAGATACTTATTATGAATAATGTACGGTTTCATAAAGCCGCGGCCGTTTTCCAATTATTAAGAGAAAAAAATATAACAAATAAATTTTTAGTACCTTTATACTATAAAGGTACTAATTACTATATAATAAAAAAATAAGTAGTTTTCAAAATATTCTCAGAACCTCAAGTGCAATCGTCTCATATACCAAGTAGAGCACGGCCTTAGCTTCTTAAGTATAATTTAACAATAGTTAAAAAAATTAGCAACTAATAAATATTTCAATTATATTTTGGTTATAAATAGATAGACTTTAAACATAGACAAAAAATTTAATTATTTAATTAACTTTAAAATTTGTTATAATACTATAAATTATAGCATTGGAGTGTTGAGAAAATTAAAAACAATGGATACTATATATCGTAATCTTTTTTTGAATAAAACTTTTTTCTTGATATTCGACTTTTTTGCTTCCCTACTGCTAAACCATGTCTATTCTGTAAAGAATAGTCTTTTTTTGAAACCTCAGAAACAAGCTTTACAGCACGCTTAACAGACTGACTATGTAGCGAAAAATTCCCAACCAAGCTCACAAGGATCTGGTTTACATTCAATTGTATTGAGTAGTTCCAGATAAGTCAGATTCTTAGTAGCAGGAGGTTTATAGATCAGTTTATCATCAGAAAGCAGATCTGCCCATGTTTCACATTCAATTTCAAGATTTACAATATTTGGGATTTTGTTAATTCTGATACCACCATATATTCTATCAACTGGGGCAGCCGGAGGATTATCTCGACATTTTAAAATCAGCCTAATTGCTCTGTTTCGTATTTCTTTCAAATCATCAACAAAAAGGGATAAAAGAAAGTTTTCTGGAAGAAGACAATACACATTTCTTAAAACAACAGGTAGTATAATGTCTTGTATAGTTTGGCTAAAATTTTTTATATTTTTTAATGTTGTGTATAAAATTTTTGGCCCTTCAGTAAAGTTCTTTGATTTCTTAATAGCAAACCATGTGGAGCCATACTCTGTCTGTATGTAATTTACTATCTCTTTAAGGACAGGAGTAGGTTGTTCTGTTCTTGAATACAAAACTAAAATACGTATTGCTAATGTCAGCCACCTAGCATGATTAACTGGACCAATTTTATAATGAGCGTAAACTGGATTTACAACACCTAAATTTAAATAGATTTAAATGTTCTTTTTTAGCAATAAATTATAATAGGAGTAAACGCCTGTAATTAAATACATTAAGTAGATTAATTTTTATGTTATGTATTTTTAAAATATGCTTACCTGAACTTATACCACACACATATTCCAGCAATAACCTTTGATCAGAACTTAAGTCATTGATCACACTATTTTCTGGAAAAACTAAAGAAGTCAAAACAAGTTCGAATTTGGCAATGGGTTTATGATGAAGGTCTTGTGCTGCACCTTTTCCAATTTCACCAGAAAATGTTTGCGGAGTGTTTGTACCGCCATCTAGCTGTTCTATAATATGGCGCAAAGGTAACTCGTTGCTATGAAGTGCACAGCCAATTTTATGAATTGTTCTGCCAAGTTTTCTTTCAAGGCTGGCACAAAGGCCAGTTTTATATCCAGTGTTGACATTTGTATTGTCAAAAACAATTCTTAACAAAGAATCAACACTGTTGTATTGTTTTAACACTTCAAAAGTAGACTGCGCTAAATTTTCTCCTGTGGCATTTAAAATATCTTTGTGTGTCAGATATCTACCTTTTATTTCTCCCGATTCTACTGTAAAACTTAGATGATAAACCTTTTCTATTAATTTATTTTTTTTGCTAATACTATCTGGCAACATACTTCTATAAACCAGGCTATCTTATCATCCTTACTGTCACATCCAATACATGATAGATTTTGCACTATGATATTGTGTTCAGCAACAGACTGAAGACAAACCCTTTTTTTAGCTCGATCCATTTTACTTTTATCTAAAACGTCAGTTTTATCAGTTTTAGTAATAACTCCAATATCTTTTAAAAGTCCATTACCAAGAGCTGCAGCAGCTTCACTCGATATCGCATACCTAAAAATTTACAATAAAACAAACAATTTTATGAGAAAACATAAATAGAGTAGATTATAACCAAGTTCAAATATAAATTGCCAACACATCCATAAAAACAGCATTTTCAAGTCTTTCCATTGTATTTCTTGTAGGAAAAATTTTTAATTTGGAAAATTATTTTTATTCTTATTATTTTTTTAAAAACACTTTTTATTTGGAAAATTCCTGAATAATTAGAAATTTTAAGGAGAACAAATTTAAAAGAAAACTTCAAAAACTAAATAAACAACACAAACACGTATTATGTAATAATAAACAACTACTTAAACTAAAAGTTACTAACCGAACACACTCTAAAGCAAAGTTATCCAGCTTTCTTAAATTATATGTTGAAATAGCAATTGACTCATTATATTCTGAATCTGATGATGATTCCTAAAATTTAATATTTTTATATATTAAAGCATTCATCTTTATATATATATATATATATATATATATATATATATATATATATATATATATATATATATATATATATATATATATATATATATATATATATATATATATATATATATATATATATATATATATATATATATATATATATATATATATATATATATATATATATATATATATATATACATATATATATACATATATATATATACATATATATATATATATATATATATATATATATATATATATATATATATATATATATATATATATATATATATATATATATATATATATTGTTTGAATGAGAAAACTATAAACTTGTTCTTATTCTTACTGTATCAGACTCCAAATTTATATCAAAAGATGATTCGCCATTATCACATGAGGGTACTTTAACATTAGAACACTTTCCTACTCTTCTTTTTTCTTTTTTTACAGTGCTCCAATCTATTAGCCCTAACTGAATGTTTCCTTTTGTGCCATTTCTTGATCTTTGGTCTTTGATGTATTCTCGTTCCTCCAGCGGAATCTAAGCAAATTTAAATAAAATATCATATATTTATTTAAAAAAAACATGATAAATAAATGATAAATAAGTAGATAAACTCTTGTGAAGAAAGTTCAAAAAAACTCTGTAGAAAAAGTTAAATTCTTAACTAACCTTGCACTCTGGAGGACAAACACATACTAAATGTTTATTATTGCAGGTTAGATATTTGCATTTCACCCTATCATCATAGCATGGAACTTCGTCTAAATTGCATCTACAGGTAGATATATCATAAAGATTTTCCAATGCATTATATGCTGCAACTTGAGGTCTTTTTTTGCACTTTTTTCCATTAATAAGTTTCATTGTGTTAAATGTTTTGACCAATTTTAAATAAATTGACTCACTTTTTATCAAGGGCAATTTTGGATTTACTTTTAACCAAATTTTCACAAGTTCTTGTTGGGTTTTATCAATTATGTTTGATTTATTTTTTAACTCGGATTGTACGAAATAAAAGTATCTATAAATGTCTCTATAAGTTGGTAAATCGCTTACAGGAAAATCGCATTTTGAACCTCCGATGAGTTTTTTAGTGGTTTGTCTAGTTTTTTTAGGCCATTTATTGCATGTTTTTTTAACAGCACTTTTTTTTATTTATTATTATTATTATTATTATTATTATTATTATTCAGCCGATCGGTTTGTTTACAATTTTTTTGGTAAATTTTTCCCGCGTTTTCAGAATTTTCTTGTTTCTTTTGAATTGCGAATTTATTTTTCAAGTCGTAAAAAATGAAAAAAATTGTACATATAAACTTAAACGCGAAAAAACTGAAGCAAATTTGTTAAAAAGTTTTAACTAGTTCTTTATTTGTTTAAAAAACTCTAGCTATTGAGGGCACAGGTAAGTTGATTTCAAAAATCGACCTCCCTTACTTTATAGCCCTGAATTAAACCCTATTGAAGAATTTTTTTCAATGGTAAAATCAAAATTTAAATCTGTTAAAAATTCTTTTCCAAATCTTAGTGTTGAACAAATAATGGATTCTATTTTAACTTCAAATAATGATTATGATCAAAAATGCTTTGGGTTTTATTCAAACATGAGAAGATGTTTAGTAAAAGCAAGGACAAGAGAAGAATTTATTTAATAAAATAATTTAATCATTGAAATACAGTAGATTTTTAACGTTTTCTTGATATTTAAATATTTTTTAAAAAATAAAAAAAGATTTTTAGTAATTTTATAATTTTTTATTTATGCACTTATAACTTTGAATAACCCTGTAATAAATCGGACTGAAAACGCTCTTCATTCGGACATGCCAAATTTTTTTTACATATTTACTGGAGACAACATTTTTTATAGAATATATGAAAAAGAAAAACTTCAATTGTTGACGACTTAAAAAACTCACAGTCGTCAATTGAATTCGTAATAATTTTTTTTTATATTGATAGTTTATTAAATTTTCGTTTACATAATTAAATCAATAAAACCAACCGCAAAATGAATTTAAAAACCTACAAAATAAAATAACATTGATTTTGAAACTCAATGTGCAGAACGCCGCAGATTTACAAAAGATTTAGGAAATTCGAAAAAAAAAAAATGAGAATTTTAAGCAAAAATATATTTTATAGGAAGAATGTTGTGACCATAATATTGTTATTACCCTATCGGCACATCTAGTTTCTTTTTCGGAAATAAAACCTATATAGGCACGTGTTTTTCACGATCCAGGCGTAAACCAAAAGCACGTGTTTATTACGGGCAGTTTTACTAGAGTTTAACACGTGTTTTTTGAGGTTTTAAAGTCAAATTTAAATATTGCATGTTTTTATCAGTGGTTTCACATTCCTTACGGAAAGTTATTAAAATATAATACTACGTTTCCATAACGGCGAAACCATTAATACTTTAACTGGTATTTATGGTAAATAGTAATAGTTAATTTCACGGAATAAAAACCATTTAGGATACGTGTTATTCTTTTTGTTTTAGAAGGTTTTAAAAACGCAACAGAAACCAAGCGTAACTATTTTCTGAGTTGTGCCGGCTGGGTATTAACGTAATCATAACTAAAAATAAACCAATTAACATAGAATTATTAATTTATATGCATTAAAATTTTATATATTACATATATATATATAATATATTATATACTTTAAATATTAGTTAAGTAATATATATTATTTTAGTAATTATAAAAAGGCGAATCTAAAACCAGTTTTATTGCCACGTAGCATATCAATATCCAATCATAAAATTTGCAGAAATTTGAGGATAAATGGAAAAATATTTTTTCTTGTTGAAGTTTTAAACATTGTAGAGGTTGAGGACAGAGTGTAAATGACAACTTTTTTCGCCTTTTTGATGAACTTTTCAGCTTGATTTTAATTTTAAATATTTGTTAATACTTTATTGTATTTTTAATTAAAAAGAAAAATTAAAATGTAATGAAAATAAAAAACAACTAGTGTCGCATTTAGGCGCGGCTGATGAAGCTACAGCCCCAGCCTCTCTGGTCTATGACCTTTTTTTTTTAATGAAAACAGATAACTTTTCTTTTCTTATGTTTTTCAGTTTTTTTATTATCAATTTCTGATATAAATGTTTTACTGTCTCCCAAGTATATATACCTACAGCTCAGCTTTTGCTATCTTAAAAGCTAAAGAAGTGTAGTCATGCCAAACCACCCGGTGGGAAATCGGCTAGCGAATAGCTAGTTATAATCGTAACGATAAAGATAGCAATTTGGCCACGAGGATTGCTAGCTTTTTTAAGTTAGCGAAAAGCTATTGATATTTGTAAAGATAAAATCAGACATTTGGCTAAGAGGACAGCCAGCTTAATATGCTAAAGACCCACTGGCTATTGTAGCTAGCGTCATATTGTAATAAGGTCGTTGTTTTAAAACATATATAACAAAATATTATACAAATATTTAAAACTTAAACTATTAAATAATGCTGCCACAAAAATAAATTATACTTTTTAAATTATATCTCATACTTAATATCAACAGTTATATCGGCATGTATTAAACTTAACAACGAAATTTATACTAAAATATTTGTGTGTATCACTGACTGTATATTGTTTAACCACTTTTGACTATATAAAAATGAAAATAGATTTTATTTAACCATTTAGAGGTACTATGATAAGTCTTCATAGACTTTAATCCGACTCCGCTAAAATTGTCGCAACTCCACGACTCCGACTCCACAGCCCTAATAAAAACTATTATATTATGTCATATATTTGTAACGTAAAAAAGTGTAAATTTATTGAAATGGTAAAAAAAAAAATAATAATAAACAACGCAAAAATAATGACTAAAGTTATTTATCTTTTATATGGAATAAAAAATGGCTAAAAATTATATGGATTAAAACATAAATAACTTTAGTAATTATTTTTTTATTGCTTTTTTTCTTTATGCATTGGAATTACTAGATATTGACACAATTAAAAACATTAAAATTTCTATTTTTTAAAAAATTTTAATTATGTCAATATCTACTAATTCCAATTCATAAAGTTAGAGTTATCTGAAGAATTTTGCTGAAAAGTGACGAAAAAATGGTTTGACTTAGCGAAGTTCGTGTTATCCGAGGTTCGACCTAACCAGAGAAATTGATTTCAAGACAATTTCAAGGAACCAGTTCAAAATAATAAAAGTTTGATAAAATAAGAATTAACTCTAGTCATAAGAATTAAATAAGCAAACAAATAAGCTAGCGAAACGAAAACTTACGCATTCCTAGACAATGAACTTAAAAGCGTTGTAAATAGTTGGGCGAGCTATTGTAGCTAAACTCGAATCTAAGCGATGTTATATCTCTACCATTTTATTGCTATCATATTTTTCCAAAAAAATAAATTCAAATCTTCAACAATATTTTACCTTTAAACAAAATAAAATTACCTGTCCCAGTGGGCACAAAACGTGTTTTAGACGTCTAAATACGTATTAACACGTTGCAATGAGTGTTTTAAACAGTTTGAACACGTTATGTACCTAAAAATGTGAAGAAAAAAATTGCTATTTATTTTTTTAGGGATCATTATAAGTCTAGCTTTTGTTGTCCTCTAGTCTAGCTTATAAGGACCCCTACTTTTAATTTTATCAAAAGTAGATGTCATCGGAATATGTCTACGGAATACAGTTCAAAATATAAAATTATTTACTGGAGTGCTAAAAATGTGAAGAAAAAAAAAATGTTTTTTATTTTTTTAGGGATCATTATAAGTCTAGCTTTTGTTGTCCTCTAGTCTAGCTTATAAGAACCCCTACTTTTGATTTTATCAAAAGTAGGTGTCATCATATGTCGACGGAACAATATGAAAAACAGTTCAAAATATAAAATTATTAAAATATTAGTCAAGTGTATATAGAAAGATAAAAGATCGAGAGATGTAAAAATACAAAATTTAACAAGATTAAAGATCACAATTGTTAATTGCGAGAAAGCAACATCAATTATTTCCAATCATGCAGTTTGAATTTGTTTAGCCACTTAGCAAGATTTGACATTGATTTAACTTTGGGATCCTATACTGCCAAATCACTAAGACGAAGTCTCCCAGCAGACTATAAGTTTAAGTATTTATTTCACAACCTTCTAAGTTGGAAGGTTTCATTTTAGCTATAAAAAACGAAATATATATTTCATATTTTGTGAGTATTTTATTTGTTTATAATGTCTATTGTATAATTAGGGATGGACACATACACAAACATTTTTTTCGATTGTTCTCACCAGTACTATTATACAAAAAAAGAGGATCATGGTATTTATACAAAGAGATAAGTCAAATCTTTTTTTATTTGTAGGACACAGTATATCACGAGAATCATCAACACATCATGAAACTATAGTAAAATACACTGGAAAGTCTCAAAAAGCAGATATTCGACAATTATGTGAGATAATTTTTTTTAAATAAAGCTTTATAATATTGCATACATACAGTTTATAATATTGCATACATACTTATTCCTTTAGATTAAGTTTGGCATGGCGTTGATATGTTTTGCTTTATTTTTTAAAATGCTGGCCTTAATCAAGATGAGGATTTTAGATTAAGAAAAAAAATAAGAAGAATAATAAAAAAAGTTTTTTCCCATGATAAATGTCCTTTTATGTTAATACCGTGTTCCCAACCTCAAACTTCAGTTTTATATGTATTGAAGTCCCCTGCCTATGGCTATTCATTGGTCAAAATGTCACTAATGTTATCAGTGGCATTTAAAGTACCAACTTAAAACAGTAGTAAAAAACATATAATGAGAGATATTTTATTTTTTAAATTTTATTTGAATGTTTATAATATCTACTAGCAATTATATATTAATATTAGTTATATAATAATATTATTGTTTCTTAAAGGTGGAGGATGTTTACCAACAGTTAGTATGCCAACTGAAGCTGAAATCAACCAAATGCTGTGCGAAGGTATTAATTAACTCTTAAATGTCAGTGGCAAGTTATATCGTCTTCAATAGAGCAATATGGTAATCATGTGAAAGACTTTATTAGTGTAATGTTTGATACAAAAACAAAAAAAGAATTTTTTACCAATATAAAGATGAAGTTTTTTTTCCCAATCATTTCCTGAGACATCTTATACCCATATAGCTACATACTTGAAAATTCGTTTTTTTGTGAGATAGTTTGACTTAACTTGCCCCTGTTCTGAAGTAAATTGTTCAATTTAACCATTCATTTATAAAAATGCTTATTATTATTATTTTTTAATCAACAACCATTTTTTTTTTTAAATTTGTCAATATATACTGAAAAAATAGTCTAATTAACATAAGATAATTTGTTGTTTTTGAGGTATGGCTGGTTGTGGTGACGGATGTTTTGGAGGTATTGTATATATATGCCTATGTCACACATCTTACGTTACATAGTTACTTATTAGGAAAACTTATATAAAATGTAGATCATTATTTATCACCACTGCATACTATTATACTTGCATGTATAAACTTAAATGTATAATTTCCATTCTTTATTGTTTTACAAAATCTTAAATATTTAAACATGCACATATCAGTTGATTTCATGCATGAATTTTAACAAACAGTGTTTCACTTATAGGTGGATGCTATGGTGCTGCCGCAGCCCTACCCCCTTATTCACCCCCTCCTCCCCCTCCTCCTCCCCCTCCTCCTCCTCCTCCTCCCCCTCCTCCCCCTCCTCCTCCTCCACCACCACGACCTAAACTTCAACTTCAAAGCATATGGTGTATGAACTGTAAGTGATAAATAAAGTTTCTGACACTTTTTTGTAATTACTCAATAAATACTAAGTTAAATTTATTATAAATAAAGATTTATTATGAATATTTGTAGTATAATATTATTTCAAAAAAAATTCTTTGCTTTGATGTTTAGTGCCTGATGGTAGTGAAAACTGTCCTCAAGCTGCACCACCTCCTCCTCCACCACTACCACTACTATCACCACCATCATCTCCACTAGTTTATCCTTACTATTATAATTGTCAAAACGGTAATTATTTTATATTTTTTTGTTTTTTCATGCATGTAATGTCTTCATGAATGTAATTTCTGTTTTCTATGTTGTTTCTATTTTCATTAGATCATTCAACTGTTTTATCTTTTGTCTTAATTCTTAGGACCATGGCATGGATGTGCTCCGCCACTACCACCACCTCCACCACCACCACCACTACCATCTTCACCACCACTTAAGTACAAGTTAATTCCAATATGTGACCATAGTGGGTTTGGAGGAAACTGCAATTCACCACCACCACCACCACCACCACCACCACCTCCAAGTGAATGCAAAGAGTTAAATGGAGGGGGAGGTAAATAAAATTCATTTTCTAAATTAAAAATAATCAGTGTTAACAATTTTTAAAATTTTATTATAACAAAATAATTTTGTCTTGGAAACATTAAACTAGTGCTGTTACCATTCAGGTTCTAATTTTATTGGGGAAAAAGGGGGTTGCAACTTTCAACAAACAAAAAGTTTCTTTTGCGGCATGTAATCAATATCAAAAAATATATTGGGCAGAAAGAGAGTAATATTTAAATACTTAAATAAAGTATTTTTACATTTACTATATTAATTATATACAGTTGAACAATAAGTTAATTGCATAGGGAGTGTCCTAACTACATTGGTAAGTCCACATCCAATCTCTTTATTTCTCTTTTGGTAAATGTTTTAAACCCAAAAGTAATTACGTTTACTTTTTTGAAAAATATTTTATTTTTAACTAAAAGTAATTGTTTAAATGCACTTAAACAGTCTAATATAAAAGACTTTTTATTCTTAAACAATAATCTTCATTGAATGCATTGTTATCAGTTGTTTATCCATCTTATTAATCTCTATAGTATCACTAATATTTAGCTGAAAATATAAACTAATTAATAATTCAAATTAGAAATAAATTTTTTTTTTTAATTTGTAACATGTTAGTTTGATTCCAGTAACAGCACTATGTAAGTAATGATAATGGAATATCTTTCTTCGCCATCATTGGATTCTCTGTTGTTTTTTTTATTTGTCAAGAAAATAATATTTGAAAAATTTGTAGGTGGCTGTAGAGGAGTTAAAATATCAATATCATGTGATGGTAAGTGTTTTTGAATATGCTTAATATGTTTATTAATTAGTTGATTATATTACATTTTTAATCTAAAATACCAATATCATGCACTGGTGAGTTTTTTATTACTATATTCATGAATTATAAAGTTAGATTACTTATTTTATTCTTTATTATATAAGTATAAATTTATTTAGTCATATAAATACTATTTTTTAGTTTATTTTGTATAAATGTATTACAATTTTATGTATAAATATGTAATATAATTACATACTTTGAAAATGTTACATTATGTTTTAAAAGTACTAGATCATAATTTGAAAAGAACACAGTGTCACAAAGTCTTGCCAACTTCAATTTTTCAATTATTATTTAATGTATTTGTAGCCACTGAATTCCAAAATCACGTTCGTTCTCCTTGCAATTTCCTAGAATCCATGAACTACATCATAAAATGTGCACTAAGCTTCTTTTTTAACTTTTGTTATTGATCTTTCAGATCTGACTTAAACATGGTTTTTGTTTGAGGCCCAAAAAATATACCACCGTTTGATCTTTGCTGCAGATAGCTTTTAAACATGAGATAAATTTTCTTGTAAACTTTTTCCTTTAAAATCTAAGACGTTTAAAACAGTTTTATCATTCCTAGTTCAGTATAAAATGGGGGTAATAAGAACTGGTTGGAATCTACAAGAGGTTGCTTAAGAACATTGAACAATCCTGGATGTGGTTCCACTTGTCGGGGCCAATCAACTTTATTGTAAAGATCATCATCAGCCCTGCTATCACATAATAAATGAAAACACTCTGTGTATCCTTCTCCTCCAAATTCAATCATTTTATTCTCCTTGCAACTCAAGCAAGAAAGCAAGCATTATGAAAACAACACAAACATCTCACTTAAGTTCAAAATAATTAATTTTGTCAAAAAGTTCATTGACATTATCATTTTTCTGTATCGAGTGTGCAAGATGCAAAGATGCAAATTTTATTTTCATTGTACACTGCTTTGAGACTCCATTTTGAGCCATCTATGAACAGTTGGCATTGTGCAGTAATCATCCTCGATTCTATGAAGAAGATAAGTTAAATCTTTAAAACAACATAGGTTTTTAAAATAACATAGGTCTTTAAAATAACATAGGTCTTTAAAATAACATAGGTCTTTAAAATAACATAGGTCATAAGCACTGTGATCTTGTAAATAACATAGTTTACAGTTATCTATGTTATTTACAATACACACAAGCTTTAGTGAATTTCAAATTTTTTATGTCATTTCTGGTAGACCCATTTCACCAGCCTTAATAAAAAAAGTTCAGCTCTTGACTTAATAAGACTTAAATTTCTCTGAAATCGTTTAACTTACTCTGATTTGGAAAGTGAGACTAAAAATTTAGTATTGGTACAAAACTGTCTTCACTACTGTTACTTGCTGACATTTGAGATGAAATATTTATTGGATCTTCTTTCGTAAAAAAATGAAAAACAACTTCAATGTAGACATACATAACTGTAACATTCAAAACTTCATTAAAAAATACTTTTAAAGAGTGTGATGAAGTATACATATTTTTTGTGGTAGTTGATGGCATAGATGATGGTTTGTCTGGATATTGAGAAGCTTGTCTCCCATAAGTTTTTCTCTACATTGTATCTGTCAATCATACAAAAATATTGCTCATCTTGATGGTTCTATTTCTAATTAAATGTAAGACCTTTGGAGATTATAATGAAAAGTATATTTTATGATAGTTGTAGGCTTCATAGTAGGCTTTATGTAGGACAGGTACTATAGATGATGATATGCCTTTCTTCTATCTCCTAACCAATCTGATAGAGTAGATTGGCAGGTTCCACATATCCCATGAGAGAAAAAAACATATAATGAGAGAGATTTTATTTAATGTGGTTTATCCTAATCACCTATGGGCATTCCAAAATAGTTTGCGTATGTTATCCGTAATATGATACCTTTCAGGATGTTGTATAATACCTGCTTTTTGTCAATATAAAATCTACTTATGTGGAAAAATCAGGAGAGTTTTGACATTCTCTATAGCCATTTTGAGAAGTATGGAACATACCCAGTTGACAGAAATACGTATATAATGCGTATTAGATATGTATTTAAAGTAGCTAAATATGTATTTAAAAAAAATTATTTTGATTTTGAGCCCAAATCATATTTAACTACAGCCATACAAAACGTTTTTTATAAGTTTTAAGAATGATTTTATGACATGGAAAAAACCCTCAAATCAGTAGTACCTATTGATGATGTATTTTTCCATTTACACTAAACATATTACTATCTCTCTTGTAATTCACTACTTTTCTTTCCTCATCTAAGCCTAGACTACAATGCAATGTGTGGGTGCTAAGTTGTCAGTTTGCACTAAAAAACTTTATAACTTTAAAACAGTTAATGAAAAAAGAAAATTTTTTTACATTTTTAGAATTAGCAGAGAAATTTAATTAATAAGAAACAAATTCTTTACAGTGGGCAAAAATTTTTTGAAAGTTTGTAACATTGTGTAATAAAGTGTTTTGAAATATTTTGATAATGCAGTAGTGGTAGAGTGATCGCTTTGTTAGTGAGATGTAACAAGTTTGATTAAACAAGTTTATGATTTGATCACCGCAGTCCTGCACTCAGTCAGCATTCAACTTGTTTCTCTGTGTGGTGAAAGTTGCTTGTCAGGATTTGTGTTTTGGAGTTTTAAGGTTAAGAGAAGGTTGTAGCAACAATTTTCAATTTAGATAAAAGAAAAGAAAATTGAGCAATTAATTGAAGTGGCCACCTTAGGGTATTGCTACAGTCAACAAATCAAAAAATTAATGTGCTGATTAAAAAAATAAAATATTAAAAACCGTGTTTAAAATTTATTTTGTTTATATTTAAACTACTTTAGTGAATAAATATTTTTTATTGAATTTAGATGGCGTTAGAGGTTGCGGAAGCAGACCTCCACCTCCGCCTGCATACTCTCCTCCTCCCCCACCTCCTCCTCCCCCACCCCCTCCTCCTCCCCCACCCCCACCACCCCCATCTTTCATAATTTGTGGTGAGTGGACATTTTTTATTATTATAAAAAATTTTTTATGCATGATAAGCAGGGTTAGGGTAGTTAAAAATTATCAAATATATAATAAATAAATAATAATAAATACATAAGTAAAAAATAAGTACGCTGGTAACTTAAGTGTCAAACGCGTTTGTACACTTAACTTATTATGTTATTACTCCAATTAACTTTTAAGCAACAACAAAAAAATTATCAAACAATTATGCAAACTAATTATGATATTAATGAATGCTAAAATTGATATTTCAATTGAGTACTTAAATAATTTTAAATAATTAAATAATTAAATAATTAAAAGTTTTAACAACATTTTTTTGTTTAGTTATATTTCTCATATGTTATTTTATAAATGTTTAACATCGTATATTCGTATAGCAACATGTTTTAAGTTTAAAATTTTTAAAAAAGTAATGGAAACTCATTGCATATTATTTTAAGAAACTATTTTAATTTTTCTCAAAGTTCTTAAATTTTTATTGCATTAGTTTGTATTTGCTAAGACATAAAGTTTTAGCAAATGCAAATTAAAAAATGAGAAAAAGTAAATTTACATATAAATATATAGCTACAGTTATAAATTTCTAATTACCCTAACCCTGAGGATAAATTTTGCATCTCGAAAATGTTTCTTTGGGGCTTTTAATTTCTTTAAATAACAATATATTTTAAAATTTTTTGTCTTCATTTGATTAATTGTTTTATTTTTTTATAAATTTTATATTATTATTGTTATTGTTCCTTTCATTATTTTTATTATCATTTTTATTATTTAATAATATTATTATTGTGTTTTATTATTTTTAAAAATTTTTTAACTTTTTTGGAAAAGAAGCGTTTCATCAAATTTTAATATATTTAGAACAAGTTATTTTTTAATATAGTTTTAAGGCTAAAAGTTAGTCTGTCCTATGTCTATAGACATTTTCAATTCATTTGTGATTTTTTTTTCAAAAAGTTGCTTTAAAAATAAATTGCTATTTGCATTATATTTCATAATTTCTAACTGCGCAATATCAATCAATACCATGCAGTTTAGTTTCAGGCCAGGAAATAGATACATAGAGCAAATAGATACATAGAGCAAAATGATAGACACAAAAAAATAATTAATAAATAAAAATAAAAACAAAAAAATAGAATATAGAAAGAGTATTGTAGCAACTTATTTGTGGTAGTTATGCAGAAAATCTATGCTTAATTGTACAGACAGAAGATGAATCAAAGCTGAGTATTCAGTGTCTAAAAGGTAGAGTGCAAGCAAAAAGATTTAGGATAAACATTAGTAAAACAAAATTCTTGTTTTGTAAAAGTAGAAAATACTAGAAAGTGACCATATGTATGGAAAGACGTTGGAGCAAACTTTATTGTTTGTACACTTTGTAAGCAATGGGTTCACAAGAGATGTGGCACACAAAGTCAGAAAAAACTGTTGGTTTTGAATGAAAAAAAATGTGCTGAATACAGAGAAGTCAAAAAAGAGGTTAAAATAAACAGTGGTAGAAGTAACACAGAGAAGAAGTCAAAAATAAGATTGAAATTGTGGTAGAATGATTAATTGTACAGTTTGTCATCTTGAAAGTCATAGATATCAGCTCTAAGGTAAGTGCAAGTTGTGCCTGAGCTATGTGTTGAGCATTATCTCTACACTTATCTCAACAGCAATTGATGCATTATTAAAGATTAAAGAAAAGTCATTTACCACATGCATCTGAAGTGTTATAAGGTATAGCAGCAAAACATCAGCAATAAACGGTTAATGGTAAAAAAAAATGATGATCATATGGATTTTTGGAGTACGTAAAAAAAGTGAGAAAAGCAGCAATAATCTTAGACAGAGAAGAAATAGTGTATCTGAGTGTTTTAAGGTAGATTAAGGTTGTTGGGAGTATAGAAAGCAAAGATGCATATTGGGATCAGCATGCGGAAAGTTAGTTCTAGGAGGAAAAGGTAAAGATAGAAGTAGGAAAACTTAAAGTAAATGCATTACAGATAAAATAAAAAAAGTTTCTGTTGAAGAAAAAAATGTTTAAGAACATGTATATTGAAGAAATCATATTATTAGAAATATCCAACCCTTTCAAACATGGGAACAAGATTGGTAAAACGATGATGATAGCAATAATTGCATTATAGTTCTAAAATAAAATCCATGAAATTTTTGTCATTTTAAGATTTTTCATGTTTTATAAAAATAATTAAATGGTGCATAATAGAAAAAATTATTTTATAAAACATTTGTAATATTTATAAATATTTGTAAATGATATATAAACTGGGCTGTCTCAAAGAGATCTTAAAGAAAGGTACTAGGGGTGTTACTACTAGGGGTGCTAGACACCCCGCTACACATCTTCCCCCCTCAAGATGGCCCTGTATATAAAAAGTATAAAAATTATTCATAAATAAAAGCAGTTAAGTTGGTTTTACAAAAAATGTTCTAAAATAAATAGATAAAGTAAATAGATTAAAAAATAACAAAATAAATAAATACAATAAATAAAAATTAAAAATGGTTAAAGAGTCTGTGTTTTTAAAAAAACATTTGATATCCAAATTTCCTACTTTATTTGTTGTTTATTTTATTTATTATCATATTTTTTTCTTGTTTTAATTTTAAAATTTAAATTGCCCTTTAATAATGTATTGTAAATAAATAAAAACTTTTTTGCTTGAAAATATTATTTAACTATTATTTTTCTGAAATTGTTTCGAGATGCAAAATTATACATGCATGATAGTCGTTGCCAACAAAGTACCATATTATTCTAAAAACAACAATTTTAGATAAAAAAATACTATATATTGCTTCTTGGTATTTTTGAAAATGTGGGAAATATTTCCATATTATAAAAAAAACTTATTTGAATTTTTTTCATATTATAAAAAATCTTGAATAAATATTTCCATGCTATAAAGAATAGAAAATAGAATTCTTTTATCAATTAGATATCAGACATATTTTTTAAAATTTTGTTTTGATTAAGTTTAATTGTGGAGGAAAGAAAAAGAAATTTAAAAATTAAATTTATAATAAAAATGTATATCGTGTATATTATATATATAATACATTATTTTATATTTTCCTAAATATATATATTTTTGGAAATTTGAGTTCAAGGCCAACTTACAACATGGCTATAGATAGCAAGGTTAACATCATATGTCAAAATTACATGCTACAAAACCAAGGTAATGTGGTACCTAAGCATGATAGTTATTGGCAGTGCAGTGCAAAAGTAATTAAAAAGATGACAAAAATTTGTTAACACTTTGGCAGGGTTAATAACTGTAGTTTATTGTCTTAAATAAAAATTTTTGTTTGTAGTACATAAATTTGAGGTGTAAAATTTGTATCTGGTAATAGAGATCGATGCAGATATTGTTGAGGTAACTGATGCTAGCTCTGCATGAAGCAGGCTTCTGCTTGTGCATGTCTGGATGATTATTTGGTCATGGTATGCAAACATTAGATGTATTGCATGTAAATAAATATTAGATGCATGGTTATGAATAAACATTTATCAATGTTAAGATGGTATAGTTTAGAGTATGGTGGATTTTATATGGACTGTTGATTTAAAAAAAAAAATACTGTTATAAAGATTCCACTCTAGAGTTTTAACCACTACTGTAAAAAACTGCTTTGTCATGTCTTATTTTTAAGAGATAGAGTTACTTTAACCACACAGCTAACAGTAACTATATATCAACCTCATATGACTTGTTGAGTTTGCAAACGCTTATGTGTATGCACAACTTTCTTAAGTTCATTAAAATTTTTGATACTTGATAGAAGATTTTCCTGATGTGATTTTCACAAAACAATTTTTGAGTTAGTTTGATTAAGTTGAATAACTTTTTTTTATAAATAAAAAAAATAAAATCCACTTCTAACAAGACTGCAAGCAACCACTAATTAAGTTAGAAGTTATTTTTTTGCATCATTAGCAGAATTGTATACAATAAAGTTTGTATGCTTGGTCAGGTGTATTTTTTGACTTTTTTCCTTTCTGTTCCATTGACAAAAACTACACTTAACAGAATACTATGGATACAAATTTGAATATATGTATATATTTATATTTACTATAACATGTATATATTTATATTTACTATAACATGTATAAATATATAAATAGCGGAAATAATTCAATCCAATAAATAAGTAACAAAACTAGCGAGCGCTATTTGTCATTCCCGGAAGTTCATTTATGGGCGTGTTTCATGTGTTGGGAGTGATCGCTCCCGATTCATCACAAGCACTAATATATATATATATATATGTATATATATATATATATATATATATATATATATATATATATACATACATACATACATACATACATACATACATACATACACACATACATACATACATACATACATACATACATACATACATACATACATACACTTTAACGATAAAATTACTGCTGACTATGATTTATGTACAACCTTTTTCTTCTTAAAATAAATCTGTGTTTATTCTGAACATATGTTCATTTTTCATTATTTTTATTTACTTCTTCTTTAAACAAAAAGTTATATATATATAAATATATATATATATATATATATATATATATATATATATATATATATATATATATATATATATATATATATATATATATATATATATATATATATATAATACTATATTAGATTCATTTGTTCTGTAGAGTCCTTTCTTTTAGAAAATAACAAATAATATTTAATGAAGCGTAAAAAATATTAAAGATTATTTGCGTAACAAAATAAAAAGTCATGAAGAAAAGTTATATTTCAAATAATAAACAAGGAGTTAGTAGCAGAATGCTTATAATATTTTTACTGAATATTGGAATTGGTCAGTTATATTAAAATTATTAAACTCAGGTGTATAAACCTTGTTACGTGCTTTTGCTATTTATGAAAAAAACTAAAAGCATTAGATGACTCAATAAATGAAATATAGCAAGTAAATCATTTCAAATTGTTTATAGATAAAGTTTATGTAATTTTTCATCAGTCATATAAAATATAATAGAAGATTTATGAATTGAGATAATTGTCTCAGTTTCTCAAAAGCATGCAGCTTAAGATCTGTAGCTGTCTCATTTACCACTATTTTAACTCATTTACCACTATTCAAATTTTTTACTGGACATTTAAAATATACTGGTATGATGAACGATCTTGCAAATAAATACTAAAAAATTTAAGATTTTTGGTCGATATTTTCAAGCAATTTTTATTTATCAATGGGAGTGCAAGATAAAAGACAACCAAACAGGTAAATAAAAATACCAATGTTGAATAAAAATTTAGGAATTTCGGAAAAACAATTTAAAGAATTATCTGATTGTCTTCATATGTAGATGTTTCATTATATATTCTGTATTGCTTAAATTAAAAATTTTGAAAGTCTTCTAAGAAAAAATACAAGCTATCATCTCTTGTTCAACCAAAACTCAATCTCTCATGTGACTTGTCCAAAGTCACTCACCAAAACTTGTTCAAAGTTATTCACCAAAGTTGCATCTTTTTACTGTAACCATTTGTTTATGTTCCAAAAACTTTCATTCGGCTAGTTTTTTCCCTTAAACATTAGGGAATAACTGTATCATAGTATTTAGTGGTTGCTTGCAGATTGATAATGAGGTTGGTAATGAGTTTGCTTTTTTGTTGTATAAAAAAATTTAATTTTTTTTTCAATTTTTTTTTACTTTATCAACTAAATTTTAAGTTTCTATTAATCATTAAAAAGAGTTTGAAAACAATAAATTATCATCATATAATTTTTAATCTCATATGAGCTTGAATAATAGAACCAAAAACACAGTTCTAAACTATTTATTATATCAAATAAAATAGTTAATGTCAGGTTAATATTCACAATAATAATACAAAGTAGTATAAATAATTTACAATAATTTTAAAAATAGTGTGAAGTTAAAAATAAAAAGCAAAATTTTCACTTTAATAATATATTTAATCATATATTTAACTTGGATTGTTTGACTTGATTATCCTTGCTGAATTTCAAAAATTAGTTTATCTATGTCTCATTGTTTTAAATAATCTATTTTTGATGTTTGTTATGAAATACATCAGTTTATGTATTTTAGATACCAGCGGTGGTATGGGTTGTGGAGGTGTATCTCCAATTCATGCCAAAATACCTGGTATGACTTGGAAATTAGTACCAGATACAAGTGGTTGTGGTGGTAAGTTATTGTTATAAATTTTTGAAATGAGTAATGACTTTAAATTTTAGTTATCGTTTAATGGTTTAGACATTTAATTTCAGTTTAAATTTCATATGTTTCATGTTGTTTCAGTTTAGTGGTCAGTGGTTGCAAATCATAAAATATTTTTCTTTGTATTTGACTGGGGAAATATATCTTAAATACCTTATTTGTAAAGTCCGCAAGTTTCAGTTAATTATTCAGATCAATGTAAATATAATTTATACTCATTTTCAAACTATATTAATTTATGTTGAATTTGTTGCAGTGAGTAGCTTCTCGCAAGGATGTGGAAGAAACAGAGCAAATTCAGATTCGAATGATGACAACGATATAAATAAAAAAGTAGAGCCCATGATTCCATTAAGTTGTCTGGAAGCTCTAAAAGGTGAGTAGTCTTACTATCCATTGCGAAATGAACTAGTGACAACTCGTAACAATAAGCAACCATTTGGTTGTAAAGATTGCTAGCTTCATAAGTTACAAGTTAGCAAACATAAATAAAAGTGGGTATAATTAACTAAGTACCAATATTAAGGCGTCTCTAAACATTTAACATTGACAATATTGCGATTAGCATCTTATGAATGTTGAATATTTATTATGTTGCTAACAATTAGTGAATTTTGTTTTAATTTAACAATTAGTGAAAAACTATAAATATAAACTATAAACTATAACTCAAAGGTTTATAGTCTACTTTATAGCAATTTTATTACTTTTTGTAATAAAATTGCTATGTTAAATCAAAAACATTAAAAGTATAAATATTTCAGTTAACTTTTTATATTTTTTATGTTTTATTTTTTTATTTTCAATTTTTATATTTGATATATTAGAACAAGCATTTTAAAATTTTTTTTAAAATAAAAAAATAATTTAAAATGACCAAATAAAAATAAATAAAGGTAAATAAAAATAAATAAAGGTAAATAACCAAATAAAACAGTAATGTTATAAAAAACAAATTATACATAATTTACTATATAGCTAGTAAGTTCATTTCCCATCTTTAGTCAGGTTTTATTGATAAATAGCAAGCAGTGTTGCTATTGCATGCTGTCAATAGAAAGGTAATTTTACTTCTCTATAAATGAAAAGTAACAAATTCAATACTTTGTACTAGGGGTATTAAATGCTACTTTTTTAAATTTTTATTTCAAATTTAAATTAATTTAAAAATAAAAAATTTTTTTCGAAAGGTTTAAATCTTCCATCAAAAGATGGCGGGTCTGGTGGAGAGGCAAAATGTTCAAAGATGCTCAGTAGATTGCTAAGCAACCAAGCTGAAAATACAGCAAACACGATGAAGATTTTAGCTAGTTTATTAAAAGATGACGGATGTTCGTTGGATGCTCAAGAGCAGCAGGTAGCAGCTAAAATGATGGGAAAGCTGATGTCAGGTTTAAAATCTTATTTTGATACCAGATTTTATTTTTGTTGAAAAAATTGTTTTTTTTTTTTTTAATAATTTGATACTTTAAAGGAGGGTGTTGTGGATCCAATGGCTGTGGAAGCATGAATAGCGAGAAACCATGTTCAGATGAAGGTTATGAAAAGTTTATTTCGCTTGGACCTGAACATTGTTCTTCGTATGTTATTTTTTTGTTTTTTGTGCTTGAAGTTTAAATTCAATTTATAAATAATGCATAAATATATGCGTAAAACTTATTACGTAAATATTGCATCTAATATATTTGTGTTTCATGCAATACTCTTTTCAAACTCAATCATTTGTTTATTTTTTTAATAAATTGAATTATTCATTTCATCTTCTTTATTCATTTCTCCCATTTTTTCTTTTACTTTTTTCAAATTACGCATCTAGTTATTGTGTTTCACAATTGTATTTTCTTCACAGCTTCATGCACGACATCATTGCAACGATTTCATGCATTTTTTTTCAGTCGCAGTTTGAGAAAATGGGAGAAAGGTCTAATGGAGCATTGGAATAAGAAGCACTCTGTTGAGAAAAGGTATCTTGATGCCTAATTTATAATAAGCAATATTATGAGAAATTGCGGCAGATTATAAACGGGAAACGTATCATTCCAGAAATTCTCAATTGAAAAATAAACAATTTATTAAAACAAATAACACACCAAGTTATATAATTTATAATTATATAAATAAATAACTTACAAAATTATGTATTTTATAATAACATAAGTGCCAATACGATTACAATATAATTATATGAATTTTAACCTAAACAATACAACATTTTTAAAATTTGCAGCAATTTTATCATGCTATTGTTTATTATTTTTGTACCCAGACCTTTTTTATTGTAAATTTATTTTCATAGTTCTTTACCCGTTCAGAAAGAAAATCAACAGTATAATTGGGACCATGCCCTTCTTGAGCATTGGCAGCGTCCTAAACCAAAAAGTAACGCAAGCAAAAAAAGGTAGTTTGATAGGGATAGTGGAAAGTGGAATTTCATCGAAAAAAAGTTAAAAAAAAACTTTTTTAACTGTTCTTTCTTTTTTATCTTTATTTTATTATCTTCAGTTTATCTATTTTATATCTGCTTAATATCTAATTTTTATCTATTTTATATCTCTTACATTAACTGTTCATATGTTATTAATTTCTGATACTTTTTATTTATTGTGTATTTATATATTTACCTATAAATATATTGTAAAAACTTATTTTGCTAACCTTTTTTTTTTTTTTTGTAATTTCTCTTGTTAATTTTTTTTTTTGTAACTTTTAACATCTCGGTGTCTTTATTGGTCAAAAGGAAAACAAAGACAACAAAAATTGATTGGACGGGGCATAATTGAACAGCATACCATACTTAACTTTTTAAAACTAATTTTATCATTGCATGATATTAAATTTTCTTTTTAAGAGTTTGTCAAATATGACATAAAGCAGCAAAGATTGCAAATTAAACTTTTTTTTTTTTAGTAAACATGCTTCGGCAAAAAAGATGTCGTATAAGCTTTGTAAAAAGCCCTGCGAAGAAGTATCAGATGACACTGACAGCAAACTAAAAGAAGATTCCAACAAATACAAGTCTGTTGAAGCATTGCATCATCATCATCACAACAACAAGAAGATTGCTCTTGCTGCCTCAAGAACATTTCATCCTAAGTTCAAATCAAAAGTAAAAAACGAAAAATCTTTGAAAAAACATAAAAAATCGGATGTTCCATTTCTAGACGATGCCGATGAAAGAACTCGACTATCTGTTCCGGAAAATGGTAAGAGCTAAAGTTTTTGTTGACGCTTTTACATTGTGCAATTTTTAAATGATTTTTTTAAATTATTCTTTATACACACACAACATCGTTCACAAGTTCATGCATGTTAACAAATTATACAAAATGCGTTTCATCATAAATGCGACAATGTTTCGGTGACTTGCTTATAAAAACGTACAACGCTGCAGATTTTTCAAACAAATTCTAAGATATTATACCCACACGACGGAAAGCTGACAATACGCGACGAAGGGCTCAATAAACCGCCTTTTTTTTTACGGCGTTTTTTATGCTCTAGACGATCTTATTGTGAACGAATTACAAACCTGAAAATCGGTAACGGTAAGTTTTTACCACATTATTTATCGTTTTACAAATATTTTTTAAAGATTATAAATTTTTTGTTTTTTTATTTTGGTCACATTTTGTTAATTAAATAATTATTTTTTAGAAAAAAATTGATGCTGACGGAATCCCATAAAGAGGAGTTTTTATGATTAAAAACAAATTTTGGAAGAATTCCAATAGTGTTTTTAATCAAAGATAATTTGGGATCAAAATATTTCAGATTAGTTCAGAGCCGTAGTTTAGTGTAAATTCAACAGCTGGTTGGACCTATCACATGTGGAAAATTATGGTTGTAGATAACTTCACGTGTTTATTTATTTTATAATTTAAACTTTTAGTTAGGCCTATTTTGTGGCTTATACCAAAAGTAAATACCCCCTTCGTTAACGGGGTTTAAAGGGTTACCAAATAAAAAAAACTTAATATAAATTAATGCGTTTTTTTTTGTTTGTTAATATTATATATATAATAAGTCTTGTAACGACGAGTAAACATGGTTCGAGTGGAAAACAAAAAACATAAAAAAAAAAAATTAAAACTAATTTTACTTTTTACCTCACGAGAAACCTGAGTACAAGTTTCGATGCTTCCAAAAGGACCTTATGAGTTTTATTGACGGATCAAGTAACTTGAGCCTTCTAACTAGCTAGCTTCTCCTGAAACTAGCTCAACTGAGTTTGAAACTAGCTAGCTACGTAATAGCTATGTAATTTAGCCATTTAGAGTTTAAAATTGAGCTATTTTGTTTTATTTTATTTATAAAGTGCAAGGTTCGAGCCTAACATTATCCATAAATACTTTGCGCTTACTGTGAATATTTGTCGTGTTGAGCTTGCCATAAAATTTTTCCATGCTATGCATATGTTTATCATGTTGAACTTATCTCAAATGTTTGCCATGTACTCATGATAAATGTTTGTCATGTGCTATCATTGAATGTTATAAAAATACTATATTGTAAATCGTCTGTTGTATTGCGTAATATCAAATATCTATATTTTTACATAAATAACATCTTTTATTATGGTCTATGTATATTTTTTATAAAAAATTGAAAAATTTGTGAAACAAAAGCTTATTAAAACGAAAAAATAAATAAAAATACATACATCTTAAGTAAAAGCCTGGAGTTGTTTTCGGGCTTTTAAACCATTTTTTTTCTTTTTTTTTTTTTTCGTCTTTTATTGATCTCTAACCATTGATATACGCGACGGTGATGCAGTGGCTAGAGCGCTTGCCTTAAAAACAAGAAATCCTGGGTTCGAGACGAGCTCTGGGCATATTTCGGGCCATTGGTATAAAGGGAGGCGTAAACTTCCTATCTAATTGCTCTTCCGCGGTGCTCTGTGATCATTAGGTCTTCTTAGAACATATAAAACAAAAATTAAAGTACCTAAAAAAATTATTGAATTAAAATTACTTTATTTTTTTATGTATTAAATTTTATTTTTAAAAATGGTGGTAATGAAAAAAATTAAGGAAGTATTAAAAAAGTTTTAAATCTTTACTGGCGATTCTTTTTTAACATTTTTTTTTTAAACTAAAAAAGTTTTTTTAAGAAGTCAGTTGTCAGTTTTTGAAAAATCGTTTAAAGATTAAAAACAAACTTAAATTTAGTTTATAAGTTTTTTGATTGCTAATTTTATAGTTATATAATTAGCAATCGATATAATTAGAAATCAATAAAGTAAGAAATCGATCTAATTAGCAATCGAAATAGTTAGTAATCGATATAGTTAGCAATCGATATAATTAGCAATCGATATAGTTAGCAATCAATATAATTAGCAATCGATATAGTTAGCAATTGATATAGTTAGCAATCGATCTAATTAACAATCGATATAGTTAGCAATCGATATAGTTAGCAAACCGATAAAGACAACAAAGAATAGGGTAGTTGCAATGCAATAAAGTTTAAACTTAATGAGCTCATTCAAAATATAACAAAAGTAATTATATGATATTTTTATGTTTCGAACTTTGAATTGTATTTGTAACTTAATATAAACTTTCATAAACCATTATTTTCTATTTATTGCGTCACTGTGAAGCTTTTAAATGCTAGAGAAATTTAGTTTTAAATTACATTTTTGGGTATAAGTAAACTCAAAAGTTACTGTGTCAAGTTAAAGTGGATTCTATGCATACTCAGAGTATGCATTTACTGTACAACTTGATATACGTTTGTTAAAACTTGTTAAAAGTCAAAAACTATTAACTCTATATGAAATTTAAACATGAGGTATGCAATAGCTTGTAATTGAAATCTTTACCATTTATTATGTACACTGGCTAGATAAGTCACCATACTGATAATTTGCTATTTACTTGCCATAAAAAATATAAACAATGTATTGCACAAGAAATGCTTGAAGAGTTTACATGTCGGTTCACTAGGATTAAAAGTTTTTGATTGGCGTGATATCATCTAATAATGAATTATGACTAATTATTAAATATGTGAATAAAAATGGTTTTTTACGGGATAACTAATTTAAAATGTGTAGCTTATAAAAGCTTACCATATTTTTTATCGTTATTTCTTATATCTTAATGACTTTGGAAGTTATTTTTATATCCTTATGACCATGCGCTTTAATTATTAAAAACTGCTGTCTTAGCATTTTTTTCAAACCAAAGAGACAATGTCATTATTTGAAAAGGTTGCATCTTCATGGTTAAGTTATGCTATATCTGGTTTAAATATACCAAAATTAAATTCAATTAAAAAGTTGAATAGAAAATTTAGGACAAGATTTGAATCCAGAAGTTTATTTTTTTATTTTTTTGAGGTATTAGCGTTTACCATACAAACAAAATAATATAGCATGTAGTATGAATTTTAGCATAATGACGAAAACATGATTTTTTGTTAGTAAGATTAGCAATTTCAACAAGTTTTTAATTTTTAAGAAAATCTATAGTATTTTTTGGTCAATAATCTAATTTTTATTTTTCATATATTTCTATCAATTTCATTCATATAGCACTTTTTAAGTTCTAAACCTTTATCTTGTTTACTTAAAAAAAAAAAAAAAAAAAAAAAAAAAAAAAACGTAAAGTAACAAAAAAAAATGAACTTTTGCGTTTTATAGTTATTAAAAAGATAAAATGAAAAACCTTTTTAAGCACATGAGATTCCTCGTGTGTGAAAATGTAAAAAAGATAAAATAAGAATATAATGGTAATGGTGAGGTGATATAGTGTGACTTCTAGCACCAGAACCAGGTATACCTTTTGAGCAAAAAGTCAAAATATTTATTAAATGCAAGAGAAGACGTTTCAAAGTAAAACACATTTTAATACTTTATTTATAGTTTATATTTTTCTTGTCAAAGAAATAAACAAGTGTTTTTTTACTGTTTTTCTTTTTGTTAACTAATAAAGATTCTTTTAGATAAATATTTTACTATTTACATTGATATAAGTAAATACTTTACCAGATTGGAAATAATAAAATTGATAAAAAAAATAAATTACAAATGCGTTTTCAATAAATTTTAAAAATCATAAGGTCAACCATATGCCATCATGAGCGTCAACCATATAACTTAATTTTTATTTTTTTTACCTACAAGAATAATAAAAAGTATACTAAGTAAATTTGTCCTTCAAACGAAAATGTTTACTTAGGTCTACGCAGATCAATGTGGACAAATCTTCCCACAAAAGATATTGCAGGGTTAACTTCATTAAAATCTTACCCGAAGTATCCTGCTGCTTCTTACGTTATTGATCAATTTGCAACTCCGCATGACGAAGGGTTGCAATACGGTCAAAGAGTATATGGTTATTTAATACCACCTGAGTCTGGAAACTATATATTTGGCACTTCATGCTCTGACGAATGCAAACTGTTATTAAGTAAAAATGACGAAGAAGATAAAAAAGATGTCATCATTAAACATGAATCTGGAAGGTGAGATCGCCAAATTATAAAGTAATAAGAAAAATTAAAAATAAAAATACATTTCAAAATAGTTGATTTTTTAAGTAAACTTAAAGTATTTTTACATTTTCGAATGTTTCAGTGCACAAGATCAAAGTTCAGATGCCATTCCTTTAAAAGGTGGTCACACTTACTATATAGAAGCTCTTAGTTATCATGGAGATGAAGCATCTCCAATGAAAGTAGGCGTAAGACTTCCATCTGGAACTATTTTAGCTCCAATTCCAATGCAGTATCTTCGCTTGGAACGTGCAGGTAACCTTTTTAATAGTCTACTGAAAATGAAGAATATCAACTTAGTTTACCAATCAAAATCTTAAGATAACAAAAATTATAGAACTAATTTCACCCTTTTAAATTTTTAAAATTCGATGTACACTACCGTTCATGATTATTCGAATGGCATTAACTTTTTTTCAAATGCTGTTTTTATTTAACTTTTTTTTGTGTTTATTTTTTCACTATTAGATAATTTATAATTATTTTGGTTAAAATGCTTTGATAAAAATAATAAGTATAATAAAAATACTGAAGTGCGCAAAACTACATAAAAAATGGACCATCAATGGCTGTAAATGCGGACCGACGTGCCGAAGTTTCAAATCTTTGGTTTCAAAATAATATTGTTTGTCTTGAAAAAAAAATCGTTTAATTTATGATAAAATAATGTGTATTATTGACTGTAAAACATGGATGTAGTGTTAAGGTGATTTGGTTAGAATGCCACAGGTGACTTTGTGAAAATAGAGGAACAAAAGTAATGACAAAAGTAATTTACTTGTAATCTTAATAAATTATGCTACATCTTTGGAAAGATGGTTTAATGAAAAGCTATTCACTTTTTCAAAAGAAAATGCCATGATTATGCATGGCTCAAAACTAAAACATATTTTTCAAAAACTTGTTTAAGTTATTTGACTGAGTTCGAGAACGATCTCTCCTATCGGGTTTTTATGGGTGGAATTAAAAGTAATAAATGGAATTAAAACTAATGCCAAATGATGCATAAAATATGGACAATACTTATTAGTCAGTGGCATAAAATTGACTTCTACAAAATGATTCTACTTAACAACTTAGTTGTTAAGTAGAATGCCATGATTATGTATGGCGGTTATTGTCGCTAAGAGTGATTAAAAGGCAAGTAAAATATAAATAAATCTAATCGGACTTTTATTAACTTTTTTTAAACCTTATAAAAAGGAAGATAACATATAATTTAGGCAAACTTTGCTTACAGTTTCCCTCCCAATAGTAAGTAAAAGTAAGATATCTTATTTCAAAAAGTACGACCATTCGAATAATTATGGACGGTAGTGTACATGTAAAAGTCTAAAAAAAATCTCTCCAAGGCTCTCTACTTTACTCATCTAAACATATTTTTAGGGGTTAGCTCAAGACCCTTATAAATTTGACGGGTTCTTAATATTTAAAAAAAAAAGTTCTTCTAAAGTACATCAACCTAGTGCTCAAAATAAGCCAAATTATATTTAAAAAATTCAAAAATGAAAATCGTTTTTTATAAAAATAATTTTTCCAAATAGAAATGCATAAAAAAAGAACCATATATATATAAAATATTTTCAAGTTTTATTAAAATAATTTTTCTAAACATGTTTTTTATGTGAACTGATTATTATTTTTGAAGTTTTTATATAATTTTGCTTCTTTTGAGTACCAGGTTGACATACTATAGAAGAACCTTTTTTTTCAAAATAATAAGGACCCGTCAAATTTTTAAGGGTTTTCAGCTACCCCTAAAAATATTTTTTGTTTAAAAAATTTTTAAACTCAATGTTTTAGTGTTAAATCGAAAAAATTAAAGGGGTTAAGAGTAGGTCTTTTTCAAAAATGTTGTTTTAAGAGCCACCCTAATATTCAGGTTAATTTGAGAAAATTTTGTACAAACATTCTATTGCTTTTTAGTTTAATATTTAATATAAGTTCTCATGTTTATATACAAATTTAAAATGTTATAATATCTATACATAATTGTGTTTATTACAATAAATATTTTTTAATTCTAATTGATTATTATTATTTTAATTTAATTGAATAAATAAGTTATTAAAGTGATTACTAATATAATATAAATGTATATATAATAATATAAATAGCATAAAAATTAATTTTTTTTAGCACTTGTTGATGAAGATTTTGATGAGCTTTCATCTCCTACTTTACAAAGTCTTTTTACTCAACGCTCATTTCCTGATAAACCTTCGAAATGGACTCCACTTTCTGATTTTAGCATGGTTGCTAAAGAAACAAACGGTTTCCATGGTCATAAAATTAGCGGATATTTTTTAGCAAAGGAAACAGGAAAATATAAGTTTTTTGGGACATGTCCAAATGGATGTCGCCTGTATTTAAGTGAAGATGATACTTGCAATAAAAAATCAATGGTCCTGGAATATAGACTATCAATTAAAGGATTGGCCCATAAAAAGTAAGTTTTAAATTAATAAAAAACATTATTTTTTTGAATTCTGTTTTTGTCACCTGGGTTTTGCTTCTTATAAATATTTTTATATAAAAATTTCAAAATATTTTCAAAATATTTATATAAATATCTTTTTAAAATGTTTATACCAACATATATAATTTGAATGGCAAAATAAATATTAATAAATATTCAATCTTATCTAAAACTATATATCCTGAAACTTAATCTTGAATGACAAAAAGACGACTCAAATGTTACTAAATGGTGCTTTAAATGCTCATTTAAAAAGTATTTATTTTTAAGTATTTATAACTGTTTTTGAATCGGGGGAGAGGGGAAGGGCTACTAATGAATATGAAGAAACCAAAACAAAAATAAAATAAAAAAGAAAGCAAAATAATAAATTTTTAAAATAAAACTTGAAGTGCTTCTTACATTCAAAGTTAATTTTATACTTTTTTTTTTTATTTAAGTTAGTGTATAAGCAGTGAAATTTTAGTTTATGTAAAAAATAAGATCAATCAAGTGGCGTAAATAAGATCAATCAAGTGGCGTAAATAAGATCAATCAAGTGGCGTAAATAAAATCAATCAAGTGGCGTAAATAAGATCAATCAAGTGGCGTAAATAAGATCAATCAAGTGGCATAAATAAAATAATAAAGTGGTGTAAATGAGATCAATAAAGGGGCGTCAATAAGATCAGTTAAATGAGGTCATTAAAGTGATTTCTAAGTTAAGCTTTGCTTTGTCGTGTACTTTTTCATTTTCCATAACTTTATCCATTTTTCTTAACTTTATCCATTTTCCATAACTTTATCCATTTTTCATAACTTTATCCATTTTCTATAACTTTATCCAAATTCTATATTCAAGAAGAGATTCGCAAATAACACCAGTTATTTGTTGAATCTCCTCTTGAATATTGAATTTAAGTTAGTTTATGTTTCTAGTTTATTTATGCAAACACGTTCTTTTAAATATTCCTAAAGAAAAATGTCAGGTTTGACGCCGCAAATGAAGTTACTCATCTCGATTTGAAGAAGTGATTCTTTTTATTTTTTTTTTTTATTCTTTTATATTTTCGTTTTAATTTTAATTTTTGATTTTTAATTTTTTTTTTTTGAGTTTTGTATTTTTGGTATAAATTTGTTTTGGTCATTGTTACATAAACTTCATTTGGGCAAATAGTTTTAAAAAATATCATAATGTAAAAATAGATCTACATAGAGGAGAAATTCGTTTATCTAAACATGAAACAATAATTTTGTTTAATGAAGTCTTTTTGAGGAGAAAGGGTATGACTTTGAAATAATCCTAACTTACTAGTTAAATTATTCTAAATTTTACGTCAAAGATGTAAAAGGTTTCCAAAACTCCAGGGTTTCTTTATTTATCTCTAGTTTTATTTATTTTTGTTTCGTCATCAAAAAAAGTATACAATGCCTTTTTATATAAATAAAGTCTACATGAGCGGGCCTAAAAGAAGACAATATTTGCCTTATCACTACGTCCTTGCGTAAATCGTCAGTATACATTGCAATTGGCAACATATAATAAATAGTTTTTAATAAAATTTGAATTTAAGTGATAAGTTCTTATTTGAAACATTCTTGTTTTACATAATTTTAAACATACAAATTTGGCACTAATTATGCCAAGACTTAGCGTTTTTTTTCTCGCTGGTTATATAATAAGTTAGAACAGCTTAAGTTAGATTTTCATTCTTTTTTTAATTTCATAGAAATAAAATATAAAAGTTTTAATAAACTTTTCAAAATCTTAATGATAATATAAACAGCAATTTACGAAAGAAGCGTTTTCGGAAGTAGCATTTATAAAACAAGCATTTTCGCTAAACTACATTTTGCTTTCGATAAAGAGAGATTGTTTGCTAAATATTTGTAATGAAATATTAAAGCTGGTATCGCAACTAGGATTGTTAATGGGTTGGGCTTACACACAGACTTAACCTGACCCGACCTGTTTGAGCTGAGCCTGGTTTTTCGTTGTTACGGACCCAAAACCGTTAGACACCAGACCCAAATCCGCTATACACGTTAACCAAACGAGTTGGTTAAGGTTCTTCTAATATTCAGACCCATTATATCCAGACCCGACCAACAATCTTCCAATCGCATTTATTTTTAACCTTATATGCTGATAAAAACAAACTGCATCAGTTAAGTGTTTCTATTATTGAAAGTTGCCATGATGATAACCAAACTCTAAGCCCGACACATATTAGTTTTACGCAACAGTTTTGTTTTTGTTTTAGCATGACACAGACAAGTCTAACGAGTCCAGACCTTTATTGTAAACCGGGTATGGATCCGGGTAGAGTTAGTTGATACCCAATTCAAATCCGCACCCGTATATACAAGTCGAGTCTAGTTTCTGGTCCGTTAATATCCGACCCAGACCTGACCCATCAACATCCCTAATCGGATAATACTGAAAATTTAAATTTAATTTTTTTGAATTAATGATAAAAAGTAAAAATTCTTTTTTGAAAACGAAGACTTTCAAAACAATAATGCTAGAAGAAAACTTATGAAGCACGTCATAATAAGTATATTAAATTATATTTTATAAAATAAATACGTTTAATAAATTAAATAGCTTAATTTGGTAAAATGCCGGTTAATCTGGTAAAATGTCGTTGTACATAAATTTTAAAACACGGATACTCAAAAAAAATTGAAAGATCCTGTCTGTCGAATTTTAATAAATGCAAAATGTTTAAGGTGGTCGTCTAGTAAAAAATATGTAAAAAATTAAATTTTTGTTATTGGTATAATTAAAAAGAGAATATATATATGTATATATATTTTTACACATGTTTTTTAAATAGATTTTTCGAAAATTTACTTCCTGTAATCACATGCACTAATTTGTTCCCTTAGCAACATTGTGCAAAATGAATGTGCAGATACCTAACTATTTGTTTTAAGAAAGTGATGTTTTAAGCATTTTTTTGCTGATTCAGCATTAAAAAAGTAAAAAAAAAATTTTTTTCATAATACAAATATAATGTCTTTATGTTGAAAATAAAAAATACTTCCCTACAAATTGTATTTTTTACTAGACGACCACCATAATGATATTTTCAAGAGTTGATTGCGTATTGCAATTAACTCTTGAAAATATCTTGTTGCTATAAATAAATGTAGGTTTTCATATAAAATAAAAAAGTCATTTAATGAACAAGAGTTAAATAATGAAAAAAACAATACCTTTGAATAATTGAAACAATACAATTGAAACAATACCTTTCCATTTTTTGGGAGAAAAAAAATTGAAAAGAACTTAAATTATATGAAATCATTTAGGAGCGCTAACTATAGTTATTCATATATGAATAACAAGTTTGTAATACCCTGAGAAAAATATTTATACTAAATAGATACTTAGAAAAAAGTTCTTTGTATCAGTTGTGAAAACGAGACGGGTAGACAAAGAATTGTTGTTGATTTAAATTAGTTAAATGCAGACGTGATGTAATGGCGTACAGTGGTGTTTATGGTGTAATGGTGTACAGTGGTTTTTATGGTGTAATGGTGTACAGTGGTGTTTATGGTGTAATGGTGTATAGTGGTGTTTATGGTGTAATGGTGTATAAGTCTGAATTAAGAACTGGATGTCTGTAGAATATTAAAAGGATGTTTTGAAGTTTGAAAATTTGAAAGCATGTAATTTAGAAGAAGGTATAGTTGTTTACTTTACAGGTTATACCCATTGAATTAAATAGGAATAAGCTGCCTTTATTCAAATAGGCAACATTGGTATGAAAAGCGGCTTGAAACTCCCGTTTAAATGCTTTTTTGCGGTGCACTTTACATAATTTTAGTTCTTGTTAAAACGCATTAATAACTAATTGTTAAACTAGTTATTAATTTTTAATAACAAATGTATTTTTATATAAGATAATATAAATAGCAGAAAAGCGCTCTGTTTCTGCTATATAAGGGCACTTGAGATCCCAATGCCCTATTGGCGCACGCATAAATTAATTATCTTAATCAACTTCAAACAAGTGTTATTTAAAAACAATAAAAGACTGATTGATTTTTTTTTTTTTTTTTAAATTTAACGGGTTCAATTTGAATTTGACAGTTTTAAATAGCTTGTATGCCATTTTGACATATTAGTAACATGCCTACAAGATTTTATTGAAATCCGTGTACCCATGCAGAAAACAAAAATTAACTCCCATGGGAACGGGCAAAATTTGAGTTTGAGCGTTTTAAATAGCTTGTATGTTATTTTGACATAATAGTAACATGCATACAAAATTTCACTGAAATCCGTCCACCCGTGCAAAAATCAATTTTTGTGACTCCCATGGGAAGGGGCATAAGGAGCAAAGCACCTAGATGCTCAGTAACTAATTTGGTATCAAGGCAATCCATAGATAGACATCATTTTAGCCACAAAAATTCATTATGTACATATATACAAACTTTCATCTGTATACTCGTATATGGGCTCCTTATAAAAAACTACTACCCCTAATATTTCCGCCCCTAGGCCAAATTTTTAAATTTAAACTTTTTACTTTGTCTAAGCACATCATAAGCTACCCCTGGTAAAAATTTCAGCTTTTTAGCTACTCGGAAAGTTGGAAAATTGCCGGGTAGCTAAAAAGCTGAGTGTGAGTGAGTGAATCAGTGAATCAGTGAGTGAGGGCTTTTCCTTTTATATTATAGATAAGAGTTACAAATATAAGATAAAGATGTGCAAAAGTATTGGTGCACTTACAATCTTTCAAAGATTCTAAAAAAAATTCCTATTTTATGTGCCAAATTTGTTTTTAAGACATGCTAAGACTCTACGCGGCATGGAATCTATAAATTTTTTGATTAGATTTTATGGCAAGGTATTCCACAACGTTTGCATTTAAGTCTTGAGCTGACCTACTAAATAAGCTTGTTTTTTTACATTTTGCAGTCAATCCAACTTCAAAGATTCTCAATAGGATTCAAATGAGGTAAGTAAGTAGGCCAAGACATCAGTTTTACTCGTTTTTCTCCAATGTATTGCTTAATTGAGCGTGCTTGTGGCAAGGAGCTTCATCTTGTTGAAATTGCCAAGAGGAGTCAGTTCCGAAAACGTCAATTAAAGGTTGTAAATAATCTTCAAATGTCTCTCTATACCAATATTGATTGAGGCAATCAGTGTAAACATGCACTAGGCCAGCTCTAGATCCAGTAATGCAACCCCAAATTCCAATTTAGCCTCGTTCTGCTTAAAACCTTGACAAGATAAAACGAGGATTATATTTTTTGTTTTTGTATCTCCTCAATAAAATTCTTTTCTTAAAATTGATAAGTTCAAAGTTCGACTTGTACGAAAAAATTACTTTTCTCCATCGCTTTGCAGTCAATGCAGCTCTTTTTTTGCACTATTTTTTCCCTTGTAACGGTTTTTGATGCTTATTAGTGGTTTTTTTGTTTTAAGGTACAAATTGAGTTGTTTTTTTTTTCATTAGTTTGTTAATCGTTGATCGACTAACTTGATGTGCATCTATTGCTGAACTGAAGTCTGAGGCAATTTCAGCTATAATTATGATTGGGTTGGGTTTAGCAAGCATATTTACTTTATTTTCGTTGGTTTCTGACATTTTTAAAGACAACCTGAGCAACATTTGTCTTCGACTATGCCAAACCTATTATAATTTTTGAGCGTTATTCTAACGATGCATTTGCTAATCTTAAGCGATTTCTCCGATTAAGTCCAATTTCTCAATTGCTAAGACTACTTTTGTGCATGCCAGCATATTGCCACTTTTTTATATTGATATCCATTTTTTTGTTGCAATTTTGAAATCTTATCTAACTTAAAATGACATTTTCGTTGCTTCAATTTGAAGTTGACTACAAATAAAAAGATTTGAAGTTGACTACAATAAAAAAAGTTAAGCATGCGCTAATACTTTCTGGTATATATATATATATATATATATATATATATATATATATATATATATATATATATATATATATATATATATATATATATATATATGAGTGTGTGTGTGTTCGTGTGTTTATGTGTGTGTATGTGTGTGTGTGTGTGTGTATGTGTGTGTGTGGTTAGGTGCTTCCAGAAATCCTAAAGGTCTTATCACAGAGCAACGCGGAAGAGCATTTAACTAAAAAATTTGTGCCTCTTTCCTTACCAATGCAAAGTCGGACCCATCTATCCAACTTTGCATTTGTAAGGAAGGAGCACACATTTTCTAGTTAAATGCTCTTCCCCATTGCTCAGTCATAAGACCATTAGCATTAAGTGTTAGCATTTGATTAAAATTTTTTTAATCAAATGCTAAAACATTCAATATAATTATGTTGAAATATCAAAAATGTTAAATATTTTAATTATGACATGTTCAGTAGGGGGCCATTAAAACAACTTTTTTTTTAAATGTCTGCTCTCACACTCAAAATGTGTTTATGTAATAAAATATAATACTGGAACTTAAAAATTTTTGCAATAAAAATAGTTTTAGAGTTAGCTCAAGACCCTTAAACATCAAATGGGTCCTTATAAATAAATAAAAAATGTTTTTCAAAAGTATATCTTTCTCAAAAGAAGCAAAATCAAAATTTTTTAAGTAACGATACCTTTTAAACATGTTGACACTTCTATTTGACGTAAAATTCGAAAATTTGACGCAATATCAAAATGTTTATCATATTTTTTACAATAATTCCTAAGGTTTAGGGTTTTAAAATTAGGAAAAATCCCGGTATCCTGATTGCAAGCCCAAGTTGATACCAAATGACTGATTCTCGCCTCAGACACTGACCTAACCTATCGTATGGCCGTATGGCTTCATAATCGTTCAGCTGTGCTGTAGATGATCTTTAACGTCTTTCATTTTTTCAGATATTTAAAAGTTCAAAAATTTTATTGCATGAGTATTTTACGTCATGATGTTTTACATCATATATACACTTAAATCATGGAAATGTTTCCAAGAATCGCTGAAACCTTTTAGTCAACGCAATGCATCTTTGAATTTTAAAAAATACTTTTAACTATTACATATGTATTACTACTGCGAATTTGATTTGCAACTTTTTATAGGCACTTTTACTTCAATTAAAAATAAGAAGCCAAAAAAATTAATTTGAAAAAAAATGCCATAATATATCTTTGCTAAGCGTAAATAATAACTGTATAAACTTATCATAAATATATTATAAATATATTTTATGTATTTATTATTTATTTATTTATTTAATAATAACTGTGTACATGTACAACGACAATGTACGGAGCCTAGTTGATCTAGGCTTTAACAGCCGATTTATGTTAAAAGTAACTCCAACTTTGATTTAAATTGTTTAAGTGTTGTAGAATCTACAATGTTTTGATCTAAGTTATTCCAGCTGTTAATAACACGGTTTGTTAAGAAATAGTATCTCTTTGGATTTTTATTTAATTGCCTATGAAACCTCATATTGTGACCTCTCGTATTTGAAGCTATTAAATCTGGTGGGTATTCCAATGTTAAATTATCTATTTTTTTTACTATTTTGCAAAGTTGGATTATGTCATTACGTTCGCGTCTTTTTTCAAGAGTCGTTAATTTAAAGTAGGTTAGTCTACTTTCACAGTTTTCCCCTTGAAGACATTTTATTCGTGTTGCTTTACGTTGTATCGCTTCAATTTTTTTTTATCTTGTTCTAAGTAAGGATACCACACTGAATTTGCGTAGTCTAGATACGGTCTTACAAAAGAGGTGTACAATAATTTAGATGCGTTAATGTCTAAGTTTTTAAATGAATGTTTTATTATTTCTAACATTTTATTACAAATTACTTAAACATATCATGAATTGTTTTCCAGCTAGCACACATATGTTGGGACAACGTATGTAAAACCATCGCAAACGTTGGAAGTTTTTTCCGATGCAAATCCAACGCTGATTATTACACTTAATACATAAAATACAACATTGAGCCAACTTTGGATTTATGTTGTTAGCGACTTCGCATTTGTAATCTAAATGATATAAAAACAACGTTGACGACTGATGTTGTGCCAATGTAACTCGCAACATTGTTTTACCAAAACAATGTTGCGAGGGTTAGGCTAGCTGGGTTATAATTATTTTTTTATGATTTCATAGATAAAGTTTGTGCTATCCTAAACCAGCAGGAAGCACACGTGAGCGCGCAAAAACGTGTATATCCATGGAAATAAAACATTTTCAATAAAACATCTATTTTAGAACTTTGATTTCTTTGGATGGAAAAGCCGGAAAACGAACATCAGACGCTTCATTGTGAGCAACTTTTAACTAATTTATTATAAAAAAAGTTTAGCTTGTGCTTTTCTTTCTTCTCTTATTTTTTTATATTTTAGCTTTATTTATTCATTTATGTAATTTAATTTAGTTCAAATTTTTTATTATGCACAACAGAGTATGGTGCATTTACACACATCAAATTGTTTACTTTTTTTTTTTTTTCAGATTTGAAGTATCTAAGACAACTGAACTTCAAGCAGGTCTTTATTATTACATAGAAGCTTTACAAGCTACAAAAGGAGGAGAACAAAGTCGCCTTAAAATAGGTGTTGTAAGTCCAAGCGGAAAAACCTCGTTTCCAATGAAGAAAGATTCCCTTACACAATTTAGTCCAAGTAATAAATTTATTTGTTTAACTTTTAAGCTTATTCTTTGATTTATTTCTAATTTCGGAAAAGAACCAACCCCGGAATATAACCAAACAATAACAAGGACCAGTTCAAATAATTAAAGTGTAATAGTAGTACCGAACTGAATGTTTCTAACATTTTGTTTACATAAATACTATTATTTCTGCAAGTTGAACTCTGTTAATATTTTTAAAATTAAATCTGCCAAACAAATTTGCAAACTAACTTGCGTTCAAAGTAAGCAATTAGTTCATTCTAATTAAAAAGTAAAATTTTTGGCAATTCAATCAAAAAAATGTTCGAGTTAAAGAGCTGTTTTTGAATTATTGTGAACCGCTAGTAGATTCAAAAAATATCTTTGCCGTGAAAAACCTCTCTTAGAAGTCAATTTAGCAGAAAGTTAAAATTAATTAAATTAATTAGTCAAAGTTAATTATATTGGTTTGATAATTAATCTTGATTTAAAATTTGAAATAAAAATTTAAGAAGTACTTATTATAACTTTTATAATTTAGAGAACGGAAAATAATTTTTAAAACCAAAAAACAAGGTAGTTGTTGCTAGATTAAAAATGCAATGGTATTAACTTCTCTGCAAGCATACAACCATCATAATTCATACTTTTATTGGCTATAAACGTTTTTTTCAAATTTATGCAGCAGTTCATTTTTAATGTAACTTTTCTGTCCATCAACATCTATAGAGTAGTCCAAGATCATCTTTACACCTTTGTCCAAGATGTATTTTGTCTGTATTATGTTCACTGCTTGCGTGTGACAATTCTGAAA